ATTTTAATAATATTTATTTCTATAGATTTTAGGAAATTCTTAACTCCTACTTCCTTATTCAATACTTTAAAATCATCTTTTATTTAATTTTATAAAGGAATTACTCTTTTTCTAATTTTTTAAAAGAAGAATATTTGTTATTATTTTCTAATATGGATTTTACTTTAAGTTTAATTTTAATAAATATAATACCTATAGGGGGACGTTATATTAACTAATATATATAGCTACCGACTATATACCCGCTAACTTTATAACGGAAATAGAAATTTAAAGTATAGCGTTTATTTCATTTATTTTAGGAGACTTATTTAATATATTTAGCTTCCTTATTATTAGGTTTGCTCTCTATTTTAATATAGCCTATTATAATATTACTATTTATTTTTTTAATGAATTTAAGGGTAGGGGTAAGGTCGTGCTAAGAAAGGGAACTTTAGCGATAATTATTATATTTTATATTACTACCTTTAATATTATAGAAGGCTTTACTAGCTTTAAATTTCTACGTAATATCTTTTAACTATTTAATATAGAGGTCGTAGGTTTCGGGTATATAGATTATAATTAATTAGTTGTAGAAAGTATTGGATATAAAGGTTTCTAATTAGGTTAGTTTAGAGTTATTTTCCTAAGTAAGGCCTCTAGCTTTCGTAAAGTTCTTTTCGAACGTAGGGAATTAGTCCGATAGGAACTAGTTCTCTTTCTATTATATAGTACGTAAGTAAGTTAAGGCTAATCTTTTCTTATTTTTATTACTAAAGATTAATTCGAAGTAATTAAAAAAATCTTCGAAGTTATAAGTATTACTAATATTGATACGGGGTTAGAAGGCTTTTATATTAATTATTTTATTGGCCGGAAGGGTATTTAATAGTATTAACTAATCTGATTTATCGTTAATAATAATTCTTACCGATTTTTCTTCTTTATATATAAAGCGTAATCGAATAATATAGAAATTAAATATAAAGGGGGTTCCGTCCTACTTCGGCTAGCGGATATTCTTACGCTTAGAATTATAATAGGGAGTAATTTCTTATACGGTACCGATTGTAGCGTTTAAAGTAATAATAATTATTATAATAATTATATTAACGTTAAAGGAGTTTTAGTAATTTTAAATAGTAGGTTATATATTAAGCGTTATTTGTATTACTTAAGCGAATATATTATTAGTAAATAACGTTCTAACGAAATTTTCCTTCTTTTATACGAAGCGTATAGCTTCTCTCCTTATAACTTTTTTTTATTTTGCGGTTGCGGCGGCTATAGTGGTGGAAAACTTTGCGGGAATTCCAACTACGGCTATTTAGGTAAGTAAGCCCTACTATTACTACTGTAGCGGCTGCTTATCCTATTCTATTAGGTCTATTATAATAGAACCTAATGTAATGGGGATAGTACGGTTAATATAGGTATTAGTTATATAGCTTAATTAAGGTTCTATAAAGAAGGAAAATTCTATTTAAGAGGCGGCTGTACTGGAGATGCGAGGTTTTAATGGGGGTTGTATAAATATAGCTACGACGCCTTATAATAGCTCTAATCGATAACTAGAGCGTTATAGCCCGGGCCTTAGCCCTATAATATTAGATAAATACTTATATCGCCGCTTATTATACTGATATTTTATTTAAATAGGATAAATCTACCCGCGATTAGCTTAGAGAGATTGAGAATTAGATTAATTATCGACCTATCGATTAAATTGTTTAAGTTTGTCGAAATTATTAAGCTTTTATTAAAGAAACTATAAAGAAGTAATTTAAGAACTTCGAAAAGTAGCTATCCAATTAGCAAATCTTTATTATAAATAAAAAAAAGATTCGGAGTTAGTAAAGTAATTTCCCCTATTTTATAATTTACCAATTTTATCGATATAGTTTATAAATATAAGCTTATTTAAACTAGCAATTCTTAGAAATTCAATAACGAATTCAAAGAGATATCTTTAAAATATAAGGATATATCTGCTAATTTGAAAAGGGTTAATATATTAGAATATATTATATTATTAATTAATTTTAAGAAAGTTATAATTCGTAGTATTTAAGGTATTAACCGCTCTAATTCGTAAGAGTTCGCGTTTAATAAGGAGGATACTCTTAATTCTAATTATAAAAAGAGCGGAAAGTAAACGCAAGGAAGAAACGCAGCGTGGATAAAAATATAAAAGATTCATTACAGCCGAAAAAGAGAGGAGGTATAACGCTACTTTGTAAGGTTTACAAACGAAGCCCTTACTTAATAATGTGCTACTAGTATTTAATATTTAAAATTAGGGATAATTCTAAATAAAAATTAAGTAGCGCTATTTAAAAATTTATTAATAAAAATTTCGAAAAGTATTTTAAAATTAGTTATAGTAAACTATATATACTCAATTTCCGCGCTTAATATAATATTCGTACAGAATATTTCAATACAAAATATATAAGACTTCGAAAATATTATAATCTATTTAAAAAATAAACAAAATTAATAATAATTTTTTAAAGTAGGAGTAATAAAGAGGATTTATTAATAAATATTCAAATTGAATAAATTTAAGCTTCTTAGGGGTAACGAGGGAGTTTTTAATACGCCCGCAATGGGCGGCGGCTTCCTAACAAGGGGATCGGGAGCCTCGTAATAATAACGAAGACGAAACTTCGCTCTTAAATAGCTAAAATAAGGACGAGGACGGCTCGGACGAAATTAAATAAAATATCTACTTTAGTTAAGAAGGGTAAATAAGGAATTGGTTAGCGGATAGTAATACTTACCTTAGTAATTTAAATAATGGTTAGAAAGAAAAGAGGAAAGGAGAAAAAGAGGGAAAAGAAATCGGAAGAAGGGTTTTTATATATAATTCTGGAAGTGCGTATATGTATACGTTGCTACCTATTGCCTATTGCCTTCGTCGGTCGAAATAGAAGGAACGAACGTATAGAAGGGTAAGAGGAAAGATGAGGGGGATAATATTATAGGGCTAAAGCCCGGGCTATAATACTCTAATTGTCGATTAGAACTATTATAAAGTGCTATAACTATATCTATACAGCCCCTATTAAAACTTCGCATCTCCAGTAGAGCCGCCTCTTAAATAGAACTTTTCTTCTTTATAGAACCTTAATTAAGCTATACGACTAGTACCTATGTTAACCGTGTTGTCCCCATTACATCTAATTACGAATTTGGGTATTAATATCGTCGAAATCTTTCTAATATTTATAGCGAGTATTATACGTATTATTAATTTAATTATACGCTATTTTCCCGGCGATTATTAAATCGGTAGAGGGGTTAATAATTATATTTTTCCTAATATCCTATTCGGTATAGTATTTATTATCCTCTTTTTCCTCTTCTTCGTTTTCTTCTCCTAAAATTTCTTCCTTATCGTCTTCGTTAGCGCCGGCGGCAACTTCTTTTTAGAATTAAATAGTAATAATAGTTTCGGTAATAATATTATTTATATTAATAACTGTAGTAATAGTAATTATTATAATTATAATTACAGCCTTCTTAACCCGGATTCCTCTACTAAATTTAACGAATTCCTTCTTTACTATTGGAAGGCGGTCTTTCATTTACTTAATAAAGAAGAAATCTTCTAACTTCAGGGATAAAACCCTCTAAATTATAAATCCTCCCTTAAGTAGCCAATTATTAAAATCCTAATTACTATTAGCGAATCTTTTGAGAATTTTATATTAGTTGGGCTAATCGGTAAGGGTATTAAAGATAACCGTACTTATTAGTAGATTTCTTTAATAAGAATATAATTAACGTTATTAGTTTCGTAGGAATCTTACTTATAATCGATAATCGTAGCGTTGAACGTAAATACGCAAATCAGACTATTAATTATTAGATGTAATAGTGTAGAATTAATTGATTGAAGAATATATATAACTAATTTGCTTAGAAGGTGTGGGAGGTGCTAGGGTAACCCAGATATACCCAGAAATCAAGCAATATCAGGTAGCTAGAGCGCTAACCTCTATATGGTATGGCTAAAACCACCCTTGAATCTGACAGGTGTTCGTCTAAACTCTTGTCAGCACAAGCTTCTTCCGAGTCCTTTCGGATCCAAAACAGATCACGATCTGAGGGGTTGTTTTCTTCCAGGCTTCCCATGCTGTTCTGATGCTCCATTGTGCCTTTAGCACACAGGCCCTGAAGATGGCCGTTTCAACGACAAATGATACCTTAGATCTGCACGACGAATTGGCGAGTGAGAGCCTCCGATTTCTCACGCTTTCTTTGAAGGGCGGACCATTCACATGTCACGCCTGCATTATTAATCCAATTGGGGACGGCGTGAACCCTGACGATGCTGCTGTGCACTAACAGAGCTAACTAACAAAGGGACTCCTTGATGGATGAATTCAATGCCAACACAGTCAGCAGGGCATCAGTAATCGGAAAACGGCAAGACTGCCTGTGACTGCCTTCACCGTTGTAACATCAAAATGGTCAGAATGCTAGGATGTTGTGCACATGAACATTGACGATTTATAAGCAATGTCTTCCTACTGTATGAGATCACAACTGTCGTTGACGTCGGTGACAACCGACTAGAACAGTGGAAATCACAGTCCAAGATCGGCAGCGACCTTTTTGCCTGAGACTTGGCACTGCGCCTGGGATAAACTTTCGATGGAGACTCCCATTCGATTCGATCGAGGATTCCTGTGGAGTTTCCATTCACGGAGTCTGTTTTAGGGTTTCGTTAGACGCAGGCATCGCCGGTCTTGCAACTCCATCGGGCCGGAGGAGGACAAAGGAACACGAAAGGCTTCATGCCGATTCTGTTCCTCTTCCGGCGCCTTTGCGGAGCTGACGGTTGGCCGGGCGTGGAGAACAAATCACGTGCAAATGTCAGTCAACCGGTCACTGAAGCCAACAGGTGAGATGATGGTGAAGAGTTGCTGTCGATGATTTTCGCTGTACGGGGACGATGGAGATGAGGACGGCGATGAAAGCGGACTTTGCGGGTCTCCGCCGGCTAAGTGGGAGACCCCACTAGCCGGGGGTACGTACCTGGATTCCGGACGTTGAACGCACGGGCCAGCCGATACTGCGGCTCTGTTAACCGTCGATCCGGAGACGCTTCTTCACGGCGCAAGTGGGGCCAACACGGTAACATCGAGCGGCTCGGTTGTTGACTTGGACGCGGTCTCGACAACCACCATCCCGGCCTCCACATCCCGTCCCGGTCGGCCAAGCCCGGTCCCGCAAATCCACCAGGTCCCGCGGACTGCCAAGCCACGGATCGCGACCACTCAACTTCACGTCATCCAAACCAAAACACCAAACAACACCAAACAACACCACAACGAGGAGGGAGGAGGGGCCACCAATCCATGAACCCCAACGAACCCCATCGCAAAATGGCGCCCATCTCCATCCCCACCACCGCGCGTCTGCCCTCCTCCTTACGCGTCGACCCCTCCAACCCAGCCGTCTTCAAGATCCTCAATCGGCTCTCGCGCGCTTCGCTCCTCACCCTCGCACTCGACTGGCTCGACGAGCGCAACCTCGCCCTAGCAGCTCCCTACCTCCGCCAACGCTCCTCCGACGAATACGAAGACGACGAAGACGATGACGAAGACGAATATGCCGACGACTTCAACCCACCCGCGCGCTCCCTCGACGCGCTCCAGGAGCTCTACACAAGTCTACAATCGCGCAAGGGATCCAAGCGGGAGGTGATTGACAGGATTATCGAGGGGGACTGGCGCCATGGTCTGACGCTTTATCAGCTGGCTATGGCGGATATCCAGTATCTTTATGATCACCCGACGTCGCAGAAGTGGGCGGCTTATCGGATTATGCCTTTAAAGCCACTGTCTACAAACGAAGAAGAGGAGGACCAACAACCGGAAATCGACAAAGAGTCTCTCGTCATCCCGCGTTTCCACCCTTCTACGTTCTTGAAGAACCTCCAAGCTCAGATACCGCCGGACGTCAAGGCGCATTACAACTTCGACCGCCACCGCACCCTTCTTCTTTCCATACTACGCATCTTCATTCTCGACTCTCCCTACAACACCAGCTTCGGTCTCCAGTCTGGCTCCTCCAAAGGCACTGCCCGTAAATCAACAACAACCTTCGACACCTCCCGCACCGTCTACATCGCCTTCCCCGACGCTTCTCCCTACATCTACATCTCCAAACCCCAACTCCTTTCTGGCTCCGCCCCTGCCACTGGCTCTTCCTTAGGAGCCAAGACTCCGGGAATCAACACCACAGCCGGCGAAGCCAAATCCCTCCAGCACTTGCTGCTGGTCGGCATCCCCGCCGCTTTATCCCGTCCCCGCCAGCGCTTTTGCTTGAAACCAACTAGCCTAGCCACTCGCAACCTCAACGAGCTTCTGGACCGCCGCGGTGGCGCAAACACGAGACAGGGAGCAGCAGGTGGGGGATGGAGTATTTACGCTGATGAAATGCGCGATAAGGGAAAGGGGAAAAGAGGGAATAGGGAGACGCCGTTGGATACTGTTTTGCCTTCGCCTCCGCTTTCTGAAGAGGAGGGTGATAAGGAGGAGGAACATGGAGCTGGAAGGGGGGAAATGGGCCTTGGGGAAAAGAGGTTGGAGCCGCCGCTCTCACCTGGCGCAAAGAGGGAAGAGAGGGAGAGAAAAAGGAGGAAACTAGTGGCTAAAGCAAGGTTTGCTGATACCGGACTGGTGGGAGACGGTAAAGGCGTGGAGAGGGTAGACATCATTCTCGAAGACGAGTTTCCCTCTTCTTCCACCCAGCCTTCCTCTTCCTCTTCCTCTTCTTCTTCCTCTTCTTCGTCCCGAGACAGAGACAAAGACAGAGAAAGAGACAGAGAAACCCCCGGTGATAGGGGGTCTGGGTCTAGTAGCTCCACCGGTGCAGCAACTACAGCAGAGAAGCAGGAAGAATGGCGACCAAATGTCAAACTAACCTTCCACGGCTCGCACGTCTTTGCGGGCATCAGGCAGCTGGTTGAAGCGGGGATTATTGATGGAGAGAGAATGCCGGGGTGGTTGACCGGGGAGGAGGGGGTTACTGTTGGGAAGGTTAGGGAGGGGAGGATAAGGGGGAATAAGGGGAGTGGACTTTGATTTCCCTTTCAGAGCGTGCAGTGGTTTGAAAGATATGGAGAGAGAATGAGGCTGAGCGCTGAAGGGAGGTAAAGTTAGGCAAGGCAAGGCAAGGCTGGACAGGGTTAGGGTTATGGAAAGGGGTTTGTGTTACTTACGGGTCTCTGGGTACGGTAGCAGTGGCGTTTGGCGTTCGTATGGGGAGATCATCATGTTCAGTGTCACAAAGAACACTGCATAAACGTGCAACGGTAGCATTTACTGTAACAGCATTGTGTGCTATTGAGGACAGGATAGGTAGCATCACGTCGGTTTTCATTCCAACCTCATAACAGATCATCAGCTTGGTCTATGTCCGATTCATGCATCATATCTACAAAACGCCCAACTCCTAACTACCCTCTTATCCACTCTACCCTTTAGAATACCCTCCATCCACATCCAGACTCACTCACTCACTCCTCCAACCCAAAAACCTTGACCGTATTCCTCCAAGCAGCCTCACACACCTCCTCCACCGAGACCCCCTTAATCTCCGCCACAATAATCGCAATCCGCTCAATCGTGCACGGCTCATTGCGACCCTTCACCATAGCTCCCTCCTCCCACTTTTCCTTCTTGACAACCTTGAACCGCTCAGGCACTTCAGACTCCTTCTTTGCGTTCTTCTTCTGTTGTTGTGGCGGCTGAGGTTGCTTCTTGCGCCGTTCGCGTTTTTGACCCGGTTGTTGTTGTTGGCCACTAGTGTTGGGTGTGCTGGTACCGCTAGCATCGGCCGGGGTACCGTTCCCGTTCCCGTTCCCGGATCGGCCGTTCTCGGTTTCACCCCCGTTGCTATTCAGCGAGACATCAGCCAGCGCCTTGGCCGCCTCCTCCTCTTTCTTCGCCCTAGCCTCCTCCTCCGCCTTAGCCTTAGCTTCCGCCTCCTCCTTCTCCCTAGCCTCCCTTTCACGCGCATAGTACTGCACCAAAAACTTCCACCCCTCATGCCCCCCCCTCACCTCGCACCACGGCCCATCCGTCTCCAACATCAACCGATCCAGCCTAATCTCTTTTACAACAGCACAATTCTCTTCAGTCTTAAAACTACACCCGTTCACACCAATAAACAGTCCCAAATCCATCAGTTCTCGCATCTCCTCTAGTGTTCCAGTGAAACTATGCACCACCCCTCCCTTTTCGAGTTTTTCGAGGTTAGGACCGAAGGCTTCCTGGAGACAATCCACAAAATCCCGGTGCGCGGCGCGCGAGTGGAGGAATAGTGGTAATTGGGGAGAGAGAGAGGCGGCGAGAGAAAGTTGGGAACGGAAGGAGTGTAGTTGGATTGTGCGCGAGCAGTAGTGGAGGCGGTCGTAGTCGAGGCCGAATTCGCCGAAGGCGATGAGTCCTCCCTTCGGAGAACGGTGGGAAGAGATGAGGTCGGAGAGGGAGGCGATGAGTTGGGGAGTGCGGACGTGGTCGATTAGCGAGGGGTCCTCGGGTTGGGGGGCGGAGGGGTCGGGGTCGGCGCAGATGGGGATTATCGGGGTGGGGGTGTGTTCTGCTGTTTGACTTTCTGTGGGTTGAGTAGAAGGGGACTCGGACTCGGAGCCGGATTCGTCGTGGTGCATGTGGTGCGAGGTGGAAAAGATGGAGGAGGAGCAGGGGTGGATGCCGGCTGTTGTGTAGACGTGTTGGGGGAACTCTTGGGCGATTTTGAGGGCGTCGCGAGAGGACTTGAAGCTGGAGCCGGTGACGATGAGTTTGGTGCAGCCTACGTCGATGGCGCGTTGGACGACGCCGGCGAGGTCATCGGGGTGTCGCGGCTTGCCGTGGTAGTGGCCGCGGAAGATGGGGTCGGCGAGGTTGATTCCGATCTTTTGTCACATGTCAGTGAGTGGTCAATGTAGATGGATATGGCTGTCTGGAATTTCCTGACTTACATCGATATATCTTGGCTTATAAGTCGAAGTCTCAGACGAGCCGTTGCCCGCCAGGGTAGAGTTGGACGCCATGACTGTAGATGGTGCAGTGATGTTGCAGTTACGGCTGCTCAAGATGGGTCTTGTGAGAATGTGCAGACTCGGTCGCGGGACACTCAATCTCATGAACATATGATTAAACCCTCACACTCTGTCTTCCCTTGCACCTTACTTGTAAAAACCTTGAAAACGCACGTCTCCCTTTGAGTCATCGGACGAGATGAACAGGGCACTGAGAGTTGTTGGAGGTTGACATTGGTTGAGTTGAACATTGGACCTGACAGGGGCCATGCTTGGCTCGCTGCAGCTCATCCGCTCAGACGCTGCAGGGCGCGCATCCATGATTACTTAAGCAGTTCCCATGCTGCGGGTTTAAAGATACCGATGGTTGGAGTTACGGATCCGCATGGGTGTGGCATTTTGCTAGTGCCAGGCAACAAGGCGCCATGTAAACAAAAGGCTGGCACGGCTCTGTGAATATTGGTGAACTTTGTCTTCAGTTGACAAGACAAAATGATAAGAGTAATGCTCACGACAATTCACAATTCCACTTTGCTTACGATGATGTAATTAACAAACGCGTCGTTCTGGACGTGTAAAGTGGTTCTAGCGCAGTTAAAGGTGGGGTGGCAACTGCAGTGTTTTGTTTAGCTAAGACTTTTGGTGGGGCAGTCCCCAAGCCTGCCAGGACGACGCGCGCCAAAAGACCGACAAAAACTGTAGCGGCGCACAGCAAGACGCGTCCATATGCTCCCAATGCTCCAAAATGCACAGCGGGTGACGCGCTTTTGACGACCCATAGCCGGTCCCGCATTGGCACTGGCAGTTTCCATACCTTAGTGCCAATCTCGAAAAACCATCGTCCTCCCTTCTCTTCCTCCTCCTTTCGATCCCTTCTCTCCCGTCTCTTCCGTGACTGTGACTGTCCTTCCTTCTCGTCCTCCATCCCATAACCGCTTTCCCCAAGACAACTTCGAGATTGCTTGGGCCTAGACAACACCTCAATCCTATCCGCTTGTTGTCTTCCTGCTCGTGCCATTTGTCAGCGTTGTCGAATCCTGCAACGGCCCAGCAGCAATAGCAGCAGAACTTGAGGTGTTCTTCTGTTGTTAGTGTCCCCCATCTTGCTGTCGTTAGCTGTCTTTGTTCTTCTTCCCTCTTCACCTTCTCCCCCACACATCAGACATCATGTATGTCAAGAAGCGCGGTATGTTCACGAGCCTCCCTTTCCTAGAAACGCCATCACCACGCTCAATGCTAACCCTCTCTTCACAGATGGCCGCCAGGAGCGCGTCCAGTTCGACAAAATCACAGCTCGTGTTTCGAGGCTCTGCTATGGCCTCGACATGAACCATGTTGATCCTGTAGCCATTACACAAAAGGTCATCTCTGGCGTCTACGGCGGCGTCACCACAGCACAACTAGACGATCTGGTAAGCACCTCCTCCCAAATCCTTCTCCTCCTTGTACCGATTATAAATCACGAGCTAACACAATCTTCCCCAGGCTGCCGAGACTGCCGCCTACATGACCGTCACCCACCCCGACTACGCCATCCTCGCCGCCCGTATCGCCGTGTCCAACCTCCACAAGCAGACCAAGAAGCAATGGTCGCTCGTCATCAGCGACCTCTACAACTATGTCAACCCCAAGACCGGCAAACATTCCCCCATGATCGCCAAGGAGATATACGAGTGTGTCATGCGCCATAAGGACGAGTTCGATTCCGCCATTGTCTACGACCGCGACTTCAACTACCAATACTTCGGTTTCAAGACCCTCGAACGATCATACCTCTTGAAGCTCGATGGCCAGATTGCTGAGCGTCCCCAGCACATGATCATGCGTGTTGCTGTAGGTATCTGGGGAGACGACGTCGAGCGCGTCATCGAGACCTACAACCTCATGTCCCTCAAGACCTTCACCCATGCTTCTCCCACTCTCTTCAACGCCGGCACTCCTCAGGCCCAGCTCTCGTCGTGCTTCCTGGTCGACATGAAGGAAGACAGCATCGATGGTATCTACGACACCCTCAAAACCTGCGCTATGATCTCTAAGATGGCTGGCGGTATCGGTCTCAACATCCACCGTATTCGCGCCACTGGTTCCTACATCGCTGGTACCAACGGCACATCCAACGGTATCGTTCCCATGCTCCGCGTCTTCAACAACACCGCCCGCTACGTTGACCAGGGTGGCAACAAGCGTCCTGGTGCTTTCGCCATCTACCTCGAGCCTTGGCACGCCGATGTCTTTGAGTTCCTCGACCTCCGCAAGAACCACGGTAAGGAGGAGGTGCGCGCTCGCGATCTCTTCCTTGCCCTCTGGATCCCCGATCTTTTCATGAAGCGTGTCGAGCAGAACGGCCAGTGGACTCTCATGTGCCCCCACGAGTGCCCTGGCCTTGCCGATGTTTACGGCGACGAGTTCGAGGCTCTGTACGAGAAGTACGAAAGGGAAGGCAAGGGTCGTAAGACCGTCAAGGCCCAGAAGCTCTGGTATGCCATCCTCGAGGCCCAGACTGAGACCGGCAACCCCTTCATGCTCTACAAGGATGCCTGCAACCGCAAGAGCAACCAGAAGAACCTGGGTACCATCCGCAGCTCCAACCTGTGCACTGAGATTATCGAGTACTCTGCCCCTGATGAGGTTGCCGTTTGCAACCTTGCCTCTCTTGCTCTTGCCGCCTTTGTCGACTACGAAAATGCCTCGTACGACTTCAAGAAGCTGCACGAGGTCACCCAAGTCGTCGTCCGCAACCTCAACAAGATCATCGACGTCAACCACTACCCCGTCAAGGAGGCCCACAACAGCAACATGCGCCACCGTCCTATTGGTGTCGGTGTCCAGGGTCTCGCTGATGCCTTCTTGGCTCTCCGCATGCCCTTCGATTCTCCCGAGGCTCGCAAGCTCAACATCCAGATTTTCGAGACCATCTACCACGCCGCTCTTACTGCCTCTTGCCAGCTCGCCAAGGAGCAGGGCACCTATGCCACTTACGAGGGCTCGCCCGTCTCCCAAGGCATCCTCCAGTACGATATGTGGAATGTTACCCCTACCAACCTTTGGGATTGGACTGCTCTCAAGGGGGACATCAAGAAGCACGGTGTCCGCAACAGTCTGCTGCTTGCTCCTATGCCCACTGCTTCTACTTCTCAGATTCTTGGCAACAATGAGTGCTTCGAGCCTTATACCTCCAACATCTACCAACGACGTGTGCTCGCCGGCGAGTTCCAGGTCGTCAACCCTTGGCTCCTCAGGGATCTTGTTGAGATGGGCCTGTGGTCCGATAACATGAAGAACCGCATCATTGCTGAGGGCGGTTCTATCCAGAACATCCAGAGCATTCCCAAGGACATCAAGGCCCTCTACAAGACCGTCTGGGAAATTTCCCAGCGTACCATTGTTCAGATGTCTGCCGACCGTGGTGCCTTCATTGATCAGTCCCAGTCCCTCAACATTCACATGCGCGAGCCCACCATGGGCAAGATTACCAGCATGCATTTCGCCGGCTGGAAGATGGGTCTCAAGACGGGCATGTACTACCTCCGTACCCAAGCTGCTGCTCAGCCCATCCAGTTCACTGTCGACCAGGCGGCTCTCAAGGCCACGGATGACCAAGTGGCCCCGGCCCACTCGGGTCTTAAGAAGCGCGCCCCTCCCGCCGGCACTTATACTTCTATCGTGTTGAGGGAGAACAGTGCGGCACCCCGCCCGTACGCCCAGACTGGTGTTAGCGGCACCAGCACACCCAACGGCACCAAGGATGTTCCCACACCCACCAGCACACCTCCTCCCACGGCTGAAGCTACTGAGGCTACTGAGGCTCCTGTACAGAGTGACAGCAGGCCTCGTCCACTAGTCTCGCCCCCCAAGAATGCCGGCTTCAAGGCCGATCTGCCCGAGCCTGAGAGCCCCAAGGCTCTGGCCACTGAGCCGATTGTCAAGACCGAGGACATTGGCTCCCCGGTGCTGGAGAAGAAGGAGGGCCAGAATGAGGACAAGGACGATGAGAGCAAGATGAGGGATGAAGATATCTACTCTATGAAGGCAATTGCTTGTAAGCGACAACACTATCCTCTATGAGACCTTAAGACACACGCTAACCACATCAAACAACAGGCGCCATCGATAACCCCGAGTCCTGCGTCATGTGCAGCGGTTAAGCCCGCAGCCTTGCCCGTCCGGTGTGGTGTATGATGCTTAAGGTTAAAAAGTGTGCAGTGTTATGATGTGTACGGTGTGATCTGTTCAGGGTTAATGATGGGTTTTGTCTTCAGTCAGCAGCACGGATAGGGCATCTTGTTTTGATTTGACTTGGGTTGGTTTCCGTGGTTGGGATATATCATTTGGGTGTTTTCTTTTTGTTCCATAAACGAGACAACAATACCCATAAGCATAAGCGCACTTTCTCAACTCTGTTAGATACAGAAAACGAAAAGGGGGAAAGAAGGGAAATCAAGAAACGAGTAGTTGCTATGTAACGAAGGGGAGGTATGTATGGCCTGGATAAAGGAGATAGTTCAGTTGTGAGTGAAAGTTTCAATCAATATCTTCTTGATACTCTTGGTTCATCATGCAGTTTCTACTGATTAGCCTTATTCGTGAGTTCCTGTTACGTGGCGTCTCTGCAAGGAACCATCAGCGGCATATTGCGTAGGCCTGTGGTTTCTACCGGAGTTTAACTCATTGCTAGAATGGAATGCACAACTCGCATCTCCTTTGAGGAACGAAGGACGAGTGGAAGAACCTTTCAAGTACATGGGATGTGCTCTTATCCACTTGCCTACATGTGTGCCGGCCCAAAGACCATTTACTTGAAAACCAACGCCTAGGGATTGACCGGTATTCGAGGTATTTGGGAAATCGAGTGTTGGTAAGAATAAACCAGGTGCAAATACGTCATGATCCTATACATCACACCTTCGAGGTACTTATTCACGCATTTCTGCCGTCTTCACCACACCTTCGAACATGAATTCGAGGTGCTTCCTGAAGGGAAGAATCCCCGGTAGGTTCAGGTCGACGACGTCCTTCCAAATTCTTAGGAGACATATCACACGACAGTTTTGGGAGGGCCTTTCCTAGGTATCTAAAGCGATGCGTATCGGACTGTCCATGTTCAGTTGGCTTGATTTTTATGGCCACTCGGCACCAAACTTCCTCCCGGAAATCGATGACGAGGATAGAAAGACCGCGCCCTGTACGTACCTAGAATGAGGCCATCGCTATGGTGGCCAGCAAGAAGGAGTCCAAGGCTACGAACAGAAGGAAGCAATTATAACGGAGGAAGGTAAGCATACTCAGAAAGGGAGCCCACCGGCTCATTGAGCGCCCGGTTGGGCGCGACAAAAAAAAGATATATAAACACTGTCCCCTAGGCCTTGGGAGCAGCAGTCCTTTTTCTCTCCTCGTCAATTCCCAACACTTAGTTGTACCGTCTTTTTAAGTTTCCTTCTTTATGCCTTTGCCCCTATCACGCACTTGAACGGAATCGTTTCTGCTTTTGCTGATTAGCTTTATTCGTCTGAGTTTTCTGTTAATGAACCAGCAGCAGCGGTATATGGCGGATTGACGTCCGGGAATTATATATGTCTGCCGGAGTTCAGTTGTTAATTCATTCCTAGGTGGCGTGAAATCCGAAACTTAGCTAGGTACCTACCTACCCGAATGTGTTGTCGTAAGAATAAACCGAACAAATACACGTTACGGTCAGTACATTACACCTCGAGTATATACTAATTACGCATCCCAGCCGTCTTTATTATGCCTTTGAAATCTAGCTTGTAGGCAGTCCTTGAATGGAAGAATTCCTATGGGATTCTAGCCGATGTGTCTTCAAATTGTTGTGATCCCTATTACAGTTTTGTAATGGCGTTTCTTAGTAGCCAAAGTGAGTTGTATTGGACTGTCTACTATCCATGTTCGGTGTATTTTTACGACTACTTTTTGATAGGCGGCTTGGCTTTTTTGACCTGTTTTATTGGGTTACAAAAATGTTGATGATATTGGACATGAGTGTTTTTGAGTTTTTCTTGTTGCTTTGGGGAGCTTGGGTGGTGGAAAATGCACATGACGCACCAAGCGAGCGGTATTGGACTGTCCAGATTTGTTATATTATTGTGACCACTCGGCAGTCTGCCATGCTGCTTCTACTTGAAGAGGACAGACTGTGCAGACTCGGAGAATGGTATGGAGGAAAGATAGAAGGAAGTGGGCGGTGCTTTCAAGTCTGCGAGCATTGCATATGCATTATTTATTCTCTGCATAACCTACGGATGTCCGGTATTACCGAAGGACATCTGGCTGGTTAGGTTCTGCCATATAAAACCTTTGAGCTTTGTTCCGGCACTTCTGGCTTCCAACTTTAACTTCTTTCGCAACTAAAACATTTTGTTAAAACTGACATCACACATCCACCAACCACTTCAGTAAACATCATGACCCAGAAAGATCATCTTCTCGTCGAAATCGGCCGTGGCAATTGTGGCTCCGTCTGGGCCAAACGCCTCTCCGAAGTCGACGACGACGACAACGATAACAAAACTGTCATCAAACGCGAGGATTGTAACACCGGCCGGTCAGTCACCAAGGAACACGACATCCACAAACACATCCTAGCCCGTTTGACAGCAGCAACGATGGCATCGAAGTCAGACAGCAACCTGATAACAGGATACCAAGTCAACATCCCCACCGCCATCGACTTCATCGCCTCGACTTCCCCCGAATGGGCTTCGCTTCTGCCCCGTCTCCCCAAAGACTGCAAACCCTGCAAGGCACTCAAGAACGAAAGAATCCCGCCGATGCAGCAACACGTCCGTCAACTCCTCGCCCAAAGATTTCATGGCGGTGGTCACGGTGGACCCCGGGGCGAAAAACTCGCCGCCGACCTCCTCGATGCCGTGAGGACGGAGCAAAACTGTTTGGTCCGTCCTTTCCTTGGACGACGCCGCCTACCAAGAGACAGACCTCGGATGATATCAGTCGTCAGCTTCCGCAACTTCCCGCTCCACCTCGATCAGATCGAAGAACTCGGGCTTCCGGTGGAGGAGTACGCCATGGCCATGGCCGACATGCTTGCTTTCCTTCATTGGGAGGCCGAGGTTGACGCGGCGGACGTGGAGTTTGTTCTTGCTCGGCCCCGACACCAGCCAGCTTTGTCGTCGCCCCCACCCAGTATCGGCTCCAAACCCTTTACCCAAGAAGGAGTCTTCGGCCCCCACGCAATGTGGTTGCTGGACTTTGACTGCTGCAAGAAGATGACGATCCCAACCGAAGACGATGACGAAGAGGCGGAAGTCGCACATCTCGAAAACGTGGCGAAAGCTTTTTGGAGGAATGATCCGTGGTATCCTAGACCTCCTGACAAGAACCGTGCCGGCTCGGAACACTATGTCGCGGACGGACAGCTGTGGGAGAAGTTCAAGAGAAGGTACATGGAGACGAGCGGGGAGATTATGGAGGGGAATGGGAAAGACGAATGGGTGAGGGAGTTGCCGGGGAAGGCGATGGACATGATTGAGAGGACGGGGGGGAGGTGGAAAAAGAGCGTTGTGTGAGGGGATTTGATTCTATGGGAGGAACGGGCGGTGCACACGGGAGATGAGGTGGTGAGTGTGATGATAATGGCAGTTGTGTTTGTCTGGTTTATGTTTCGTGTGGCGCGGAAGTCTGAATGTTTTCGAAAACTTCGCCGTGGTTGCGCTGTTTTCTGTTTGTATTGAGAAATAAAACGTATCGAACGGGAATCATTACCAGCAATTTGATGCTTTGTGCTTTTCAGTTCTCACTCCCTTCTTCCTTCCTTTCTCCTTATTCCCGTGTCTTTCCCTCCTAGCCTCTCCTTTTCCCTCGTTCTTTCCTAAAACGACAGCGATTATACGGACCGTTTGCTCCCCGGTCTCGGGGAGGTGGAGAACCAGATCCTGGGCAACTGAGACAGATTCAACTTTGACAGTTACTCCTGCCTTTTTCACGACCTTGAGCGCAACTCGCCAATCAAGAAACCAATTAAAATGAGGTACCTTTCTCTCCCGTTTTCAACGTACTACTCTTCCTTTTGGCAAACCATTTCGCCCGCAATCCATCACCGCTGAAGAACCTGACAACATCAACAACAACAACAACCTGACACGTACACGAACCGACATTCCTTCATCTCCAGTCGACACCATGAGTCCAACAGAGATTCATCTTTCCTTACTCTCCCTCAATGTCTCATCGGAAACTTAACACCACCCAAGGTACGCTACCTATCTGTCAGTCGCTTTGTCGACGACAAATTCTGTGGGAGATGTCGCTGACCAACACTCCATCAGGCCGACATTTGTACCAAGTCTTTGAGTTTCTTTCTCTGCCTTCGCCTCTCACCCACTTGAACGAAACCACAGCCATCTCCACGCACAATGTCGAACTCTGAACACTTTCGTCTTCCCATGTCACGGAGACAGATGAACGCCACCGATGCATCTGTTGTATCGATCACGGACTCGTTGAGAGACGCTGTCCTCACCAACCTATCATTAGAACAGCGCCTCGAACAACAAGCGTCGACTTACCGAAGCCCCGAGGAATTCCTTATGCGAATGCTCTCAATAAAATCGGTTGTGTCCACAACCTCATCCTTTGCCGCCACTCAAGAAGCGGCTGTACAGTCCCCGCAGCGTACGGGGCAGAAGGCAGCAGTTGCGAAGCGATGCGCCATCGTGGCGCAGCCAGAGGGGTAGCGATGCGTGAGAGGAACTAGAGGATATTCTCGTATCGGTTGTGTCTTCCTTTGGCACATGTTTTAGCTTCTTGTGAGTTGGAGTGGTTTATGAAAGGGCGAGAGAGCAGGAAAGGAGATTAGATTAGCAGAAGGAGTAAGCTTTCGTCTATGCCGAGGAAGGTTCAAAGAGCAAAGTTATGAGTTTGACTTCCCGCACCACCACGTTTGTCTTTTTGGCAAGGCTCTTCTGCTGAAAGCTGACAGCTCTGATAAATTAATGGATGCCTTTACACTTTTGCAGAGATCGGTCTCAAATCCCTCGATATGTTTGGTGTCCCTTATTCAGATGAGAATCTACGTTCTGGCGGCGAACTCACCAAGGCAAACATCGAACAACCACCTTGAGCACAGCTTGACAATCGTTGAACATCCCGGCAGCCAAGCTCTTTTTACGATAGTGGGCCGCAGTACTCGCGGTGGACACTTAGTTGTAATTCCAATGAAAGGAGGATTAGGGAGAATATGAAATATGGACTTGGTAAATCGTTGATGAGTCACTCTTGGGATGGCAGGGAAAGGTCCAGTGTCGCTTTCGAATGGATGGGTAGTGTGGCGCACATTCCATGTCATGCGTTGTTCGTAAGTGTCAAAAAATGAGGTCCTGTTGGACCGGCGCTAACATCATCGTGCAAGCACGAATAAAAGCTTGGAGGACTGACTTCAACCGCCCATCTCCCTTCCGGAGTACTCGAGTATATTCCTTTCCCCTTCAACCAGTTTTCTGATACACTATATGTTCCTTAACATTCAGTCATTCACCCTGATTACAAGCTTCATTTGGCCCAACCCGTTCTTTGCTCAGAACAGCAGCATATTACAATTGTCAGTTCCTACCATATTTGCTTCGAAGGTATCACCATACAATGTTTGGAGTGTTGGCCTGATCTCTTAACGACGTAACATATACTTATTCAATGTTGCACTTGCTATCAGTGTCTCGTGCAAAAGTTCCAGTCGGACACTCAGCATTCTGATGACCTCATCTAATCCACCCGGACACTCGCTCAGTTATTGATGGGGAGGAGAACTGAAGGTTGCCATGTGCAGTGGTGGAATAGCAGTTCGGAAGCTCTTTCTTGGGATCCAATTTTCTTTGGTGGGTAGTATGTTTGCGCTTTCCTCTTGTGATGGCCAGATTGCGTGTCGCGAATTCCCCCCCGTCGGTCTTACCTACCTAGGTAGGTAGGTTCTTGCCGTTCTTTGTGATTGGCAGCTCAGGCGGCAGGCCTCGGGGGTGTATGAAGAGCAGGAGCGGATGGCAGAAAGAACTTGGAAATGTGCGTTGTGCCAGTTGATTTGGGGTTGGCGGCGGATCTCTTCCAGCTTCAGTTTTTTTTTCCTCTTTCTTCCTCTTCAACTTCAACAGAACACCGTTGTTTGGCAATGAAGCGATTCGGGTCACCATCCAGGGCGCTTTTTCTCATGCTATTCTCGTTATTCATGTCCTTCTTTTTCATGTCCTTTTCCTTCATCTCCCTCGCCCCCATTTCTTACTCTCTCCTTCAGTTCTTCATTTTCTTCCTAACCCTTATCCTCTTCATCCTTTTATTGTTCAGTTCTCCTACATAGTTCTACATGGCCTCGCTCATTTCTCACGGCGAAAACCACAACATCCAATCATTTCGCGACCGCAACATGTTCAAGGTATTCTCAGCTCCAGGCTCTGCCTTCTAGCCAATCACACGCCGTTTAACCTCGTCGTCTAACGTCGCCATGTAACCTCAACATGTGATCCTAGCATCGATGGCCTCTTGGGCTCAGGTCAGGCAGCCATATTTGATGGATCTTCAGCCTCTTTCCAAACTTCCAACACCATCGCGTTTGCAGCAGTCGGCTTTCTGGAATTGCTGCTATCGATCCCACTTGCATATTTGATGCCGCGCGCCGTCCGATCTCTTCGTCTTCATGGCTGATTCCACGCAGACGGACGCAATGTTGACCGGCAGCCTGTTCAGCTATGACTCGGTTCCTCTGTCAGATCCGTCAACCCAAATTCGTCTGATCGACCTCCATCCCGCTTCTAGTTATACGGACGACCTATACTGCTACATCTACACTGCGCCTATCTCCCAGGCGCCCAGCTATATCGCGCTTTCATACGTCTGGGGGACAGCACCAGGGCGCATGAGATTTCAGTGGTCAATGAAGTCAACGATGGCAGAGCTTTTATACCACTTCCCCTGACATCATCCCTGGATACTTGCCTCCGTCATCTTCGAGAACTCCAACGCCGGTGGCAGCTTGAGCCCCTGCCTCTGTGGATTGACCAGATATGTATCAACCAGGAAGACAACGAGGAAAAATCCTTCCAGGTCATGCTCATGAAGGATATCTACTCGTCTGCCCATCAAGTCATCGTTTGGCTAGGCCCTGCTGCTGACGGCTCCGACAAAGTAATGGATGCCTTTGCAGAAATCGGTCAAGAATTCCTCGATAAGATCGGCGACCATACCTCAGAAGAGCATCTGCTTTCCGTCGGTCGCCTCATTGAGGAAAATATTGAACAGCCTGGTGTCGTTGCTTTCTTGAGTAAGGCATTCAAGGTTTTTCTTGGATTGAAAAGGGAACGCTCTTTTACGCGCTGGGTGGAAAGATCATGGTTCACGCGAGTGTGGACTATACAGGAGTTCTGTCTCTGTTCGGATACGGTTTTTGCTTGTGGCTACGAGGTCGTCCCTGAGAGATTTATTTCCGCAGTAGTCGATTTTACGAGGTGCATTGTACTGGACAGATGTTTGCGTGAACGTCTAGAGACACCTGACACACCTACATATTCCAACCTCGCCTCAGGGTTCGTTAAATTACACAAGCTCTTTCAGCATCGGGGGCACAGCCAGTACCTGGATCGGAAAGAAACCCTGGAACACCTCCTTGCGGAAGTCTTTGTAGGATCTACACCGTCGTACGTTACAAATAAGCGCGACAAAGTGTACGGACTCCTTGGCTTAGCGGGGGACGCGGATGAGCTTGGTATTCGGCCGGATTATTCTACGTCAACGACCATTGCGCAAGTGTTGACGCAAACCGCAAGAGCGATAATCGAAAAGAAATGGAAAACACAACGGATCAGAGGTCTATACATCATTCGTTACGGGAGTTTGGGACGAAGAAATTCTGCCCAATCAGGGGAAGCAATGAGCAGCAGCACCAAGAACGAGATGGAACTACCGTCATGGGTGCCTGAGTGGAACAGCAAAACAATAAAGACGTATGTAGCAACTACGTCATACTCAGCCTGTGGGAAGTTCAGAATAGCGGATTTGGTGCCTACTTCATCCCCTACCATTCTGGGCGTCCGTGGCTTTTACGTGGATACTATCGTGGATTTAGGAGAGCAGGCACAGGTTAACCGCCTGCATTGCCCTGACGGTCCTAAGAAAATCCTTGCATTTTTCGACTCCGTCAAGAGGCTGTTAAACATGTCCAAGCAGAACAAATGTGCCAAAAACATATATGCAACTACTACTCATCATGATGCTGCCCTATGGCGAGTGCCCATTGGGGATCAGTATATCGCGTATGGAGTTGGCCACCAACCCTACAAAAGGACAGACTCAAAACTGGAATCACTCTATCGGAAATTCGTCGCATACTACGAGGACTGGGCAAGCCGGGAAGATGATTGGAATGACTATATGGCAGCGTACAAAGCTGGAGATAAGCAGGCCAACTTGGCGATGGAAATGCACATGGACGAGCTCCTGGCGGAGGGATATTATCTGGCCTTGGGGAACATGCGTTGCAAGCGCCCGTACCTCACAAAGAATGGATATCTGGGCATGGGCCCAGGGCACTCACAGCCCGGCGACAAAGTGGTTGTATTTCACGGCGATGTAATACCATACGTGGTACGACCGGTACCGGAAAAGGGGGACAACACGTACCTTTTGATGGGGGAAGCATACTGCGACGGGATTATGGACGGGGAACTCGCTGATACAGCGGAGAGGGAGGATTTCTATCTTATTTGATATGTTTTTCTTCTTTTTTTCCTTTGTTCCCTTTTTCTTGTTCTTTTTCACAAGCAGTGGTGGCGAGAATGTTGACCTTTGGTCTCATGCAAATTGTAGGAGAAGGAAGTTGCTCGTTCGGGGACCCACTCGCTCTTTCTTTTTCACACAAACCGATGCAAACCCACCTTGGACACTCGTTCATATTTTCTTCACAGCAAATATATGTAAATTGACAGTACACTCATTTGAAACTCCTTTTCTCGTACAATGTTTAAGAGACATCTAGCCTTTGCATTTTGTCTCTTTGGAGGGACCGAATCCCCCGGTGATGCCGAGCCCCAAACTCATGTCGCCGACCACGCCTCCTTGCAATTGGTTATTGGTTTGCATGGACGTTTTGAATTTGGCCAACTACAAATCATGAACTTGCTCAATTCCATCAGATAAAACACGCAGTAAATACTTAACAATGGTCTCCGCTCAATTATACCAGAAAGCTCAACTAATTCAACATGCCTGCCTCTCACAACAGGAAGGAGGCTTTGCAATGGGACCGTCGCATCTGCGCCAACATCCGCTCCATGGAAGGAAGTTGCGAGGCAATGACTTTCTCATCCGTTTTGGCGCCGAGTAGCATACATACACCTGCACTGCACAGCGATGATCTAAAAAACATGTGAAAATGGCACCAATCCGAGAGAAAAACACATCTTCACAGTCCTGGAGCAGGGAAGCTCTACGGCAAGAGACGACATGGTATAAATATCGGGGTCATTCACGAAAACGTTTCCGAGGCTGTTTCGCTCCTGCTCTGTTTTCGAAGAACCACCAGCAGTCATCAATCAAATTGTCTGTGCTCATCTCCTTCGAAAATCGTGCAAGAAAAAACTTGCTATGACACTCGTCGCCAACCCTCTTTCCAACCCCCTTTCCAACAATTTTCCCAGCCAAGCCCGAGCAGGGCATCCCTCTTCCTGTACTTCAGGCTGAAAATTCCAGTATTTTTTCTATCACCTAATTGATCCTGTTCTTTCTCAGACTTTGTGCTTCACGCATGAAACCTCACTTTGCATGCATCAATGACAAGATCAGAGGGGTATTATCCCAGAGAAGACGCATACACCCTACGCCAGTCCGATCCGGGCCTCTTCGATACGCGGAGGGAAAATGACGAACACGGGCTTTATAGGGGCTTCATCACGGATGGATATGGAATTTTGCCTTTGATGCAATGCGGGTGACACTTGCAGCACGATATTCGTCGTCGTCATTTTGGTGAGCAGGATGCGCAACCGTTCAACCACAGCTCCGACACATGTACGCATTGAGAAAGCGTGATCACGATCACCGCCTTGAGGAGGCAGCGTGAGCTTAAAAAGCTGGTATCAGTCATCATCACAACCAACCACTCCGAATGGCAATCAAGCTTTGTTCACCGCACGCGTTGATTTGGACAAGAGAACCTCTACTGACATGCGAGCTAATTTTCCACGACCAGCTTGGCCCGGCTACATTCAGACAAATTCGCCCACATGTCCGTTCGCTCAGTCCTCAGAGAGGGACATGTCCCAGCCCTGGTACAAACAGGACACGCGCCGTCACGCACACCGGAGGGTTGAGTCTAATTGCTGGATCACCGAAGTTGACATGCAATTATCAAATTCAGGTCCGATCCGGCGGTATTCTGGTGCATGTATGATGCAGGCCGATCCTCGCAGTTGGGGATTTTGATGCCGAACAGAAGCGCCCCCCTCGACTTCATGTTTGTCCAAGTCCGGCACCTCATACCTTGATCTGCGGGGCTCGGCCATTCAAAATCAATGGTTCTTGGAAAAGGCTGCATCTATGCCGGTGCATTGTTCCATAGATGCCGGTGTTGCAGAATCTCACGGAGTTTGGAAAAGAAACCCGCATCAAGTCCCTGTGGGAGTCCCAGTGCCGTGGCCGCGGTTGATATGCGTGGTCCTGCATATATAAGTCCTGTTTCCTCCTCCAGAGTCTCTGCCATCTTCGGTCTTTTGGGTGGCTTATCCGTCACTCACTCACTTCTTCGGACATGGAACTTGGAAAACAATTGTTCACTTCGCATCTATGCGAGATGTAGGTCGTTGCGCGCAGGTAAACATCATGTTTCATGGATTTTGTATGCACTTGGGGGACAAGTGGCCAGCCCGACAAGAACCTCATGGATTTCAAGTCTAGATAAATACCCCCATATCCCCTGAAGTTCTTTATCGCTCTTCCTTCTTCTTCTCTCACCACAGTTTCCGCTCTTCTTTCCACACCTCGAAGAACTCGTTTACCATCAAAAAGAACTTTTCCCAACAATTCAACTTGAAACTACCACATTGCACCCCTCCTATCATCTACCAACGAAAGGAAACAACCATGACCATGGACGGACCCAAGAGGCCTGGCGAGGACAAGCACCTCGAAAGTCGTGACCGCCCCCGGGCCAAGCGGCGGAAAACCAGCTACGATGGCGGCGAGGTTGCCATCTACGATGAGGAGCGTGTTGAGCAAGTTAACATATCCAATGTAAGAGGATTCCTTTATCCATCTTGCACATTCTCTTTTCCCATTATCAAGGTTTGGTATGAACATCAGGAGAAATTGAAACTGACCTTCCAACCCAAAATAAAGCAACAGGAGCAAGATACCCTACCCATCGAGAATTCGGTCCTCCCAACTCAGCGGCCGACGGTCTCGCCAGAGCGTGTAGTGGGAGGTGAAGAGAAGAAGGAGGAGGAGAAGGAGGGGAGAAGGAGGGGGAGAAGGAGGAGGAGAAGGATGAGGAGAAGGAGGAGGAGAAGGAGGAGGAGAAGGAGGAGGAGAAGGAGGAGGAAAAGGAGGAGGGGGAGAAGGAGGATGGGGTTAGTGATGATGACCAAAACGAGACCGACGACGACAGCGACAACGATAGTGTCGGTTTGCCCTCGCTGGACCTCTTTCAGTGGCCGGCCGGGGAACACGACCCGTTACTCCCTATTCCCGACATGCCCCTCCAACCCTCGTCTCCCTCCTCCCACGACTCGGGCTCGGACTCCGAGTACAGCTCGGACTCTTCCTCCTCCTCCTCCTCCTCTTCTCCCGCCCTTCCTTTCGAGGGGGCTGTTTCTCCCCCGTTCCCATGGGGGTCTCCCGCTCCGTTCCTTCCGGCCACTTTTTTCCCTCTTCCCCCGCTCCCCGGGCAGGACCAAAATGAGCCCGGGCAGCAGTTCAACCAGCAGCAGGGCATAGCTGCACAGCCACACCCCGAGCCAGCCCCGGTACCTCATCATGATGAACATCATGAGACACAGGTCGTCAACGGCCTCCCCACGCCAGTCCTCGTGCCCCATCATCATGAGCACCACGAGGCACAAATCGTCATGGGGCTGCTCACTCCAGCGCCTGAGGCCGAGCTGGCGCTGCACTTACCAGCTCTCCCAAATGATGGGTTTGCTTTGCCTCCGCCTGCGCTGGGGCCTCCGCCTGCGCCGGGGCCGGGGCCGGGGCCGGGGCCGGGGCCGGAGATGGACATGCTGCCAATTCTTCATGCCCTTTTACAGTTGTTTCTGACTACATATCTCGCCAGCATGGTATGAGTAGCCCCCGGGTGGTGATGGTTTCCCTCCGTAGGAGCAGGAGCAGGAGCAGGAGCCGGGAGCATTTCTTGGGGGCCCTTGACGGAACGGTATCTACACCCTGATGTTTGGGAGTGAGACTGGGTTGGGATCGGGATCGGGATCAGTTGGGTGGTTTCCATTGCTCGGGGGGCGGGGCGTTGGTTTTACTTTGCCGCAGTTTGTTTTCTGTCTCTTTGTTTTGGGAGGTTTCGTCATGGATCTTGCACGGTTGGATATCTTGCCGATCTGGAATTATAACGGTTATCTTGGGAAATGTCTGGGTTGGCCAGTTTCCTGTTGGGTCGTTTTGGACGTCTTTCTTTCTGTTCTTTCCTTTATAAGTTGTGGGAAAGGTACAATTTCTCGATTTATCTTCGTCGGTTTTTCCCTTTGGTTTCTTGATTTTCCTCATCTCTCAAGTTACTTTTTATTGTTTGGGCAAGAACCGCGAGGTTGCAGATGGGATGGGCGCGGCTACTTCAATTCTTTTTTTTTTTCCCTTGCTGCCCGTCTGCAGTCAAATCAGTTTTTGCCCGTCTACAGAGAAATCATTTTCTGCCTTTGTACACAAATCAATTTCGGCCTGCCTTTCTACACAAATCAGTTTCTTCCTGCCCGTCTCTACATACAAATCAGTTTCTTCCTGTACTGTCTACACAAATCAGTTTGAGCTTTATGCTGGCTGTACTGGCATGTGTCAAGTTTTCCGGTTCAGCCTGGCTCAGAATATGAGGAAAGAAGAAGTTGCAAAGGAAAGAAGGAGTGGAGAAGGGTGAGACCAGGACATGATAAGAACATAAGGAGGCCGTGAGAAGAAGACCATGAAAAGGAGGAAAGCAGAATTGAAGACGCAACACAACCATCAGAAGTAATAAAACTACCGCGTTCTTAATCTCCATCTGCACGACAGTCATAAGTACATGTATGAGACTCACTCCGTCACTCCAGATAGAGCTCGCCCAACACAGCTTTGACCAACCGTTTACTCGCGAACTGGATTTGTCCACTCGACTTGACGGAGTAGCCTGAAGCGTATCTAGACTCGGCTTCCAGAAACGAGCAAGGAAAGAATACATTTTACTGGACTGTGACTTTGACCATTCTTCGGTAGCATGAGAATTGAAAACCCTCCTGCTCCCGGCCTGTTGGGCACCGAATTCCCATAAGTGTAGTCAGTATGCTCACTCTTTTCAGTCCCCTCTGAGTTTGACGTTTCTTCCGACAGCTTCTCAGCTTCTCCAGCTCCCAGCCTTGCAAGATCCCCCATCTTCCTTCTGTTTAGATTAACCAGTCCCTATAACTCAGAGATTTCTCTCCCAGTCTCCCTCCCTCAAATCTCAACCTTTCAGACTCCTCGCCTCATACCCTCCCTCCAGTTGTCCCACCAAAGACACAAAACATATTTTATATCTTCACTTATAGAAAGGATCAATAAGTTAGGCCTGCCGCCTTACCCTCCCTTCCTCCCCTCCTCAACCGCTCCCCTCCCATCTCCAACGTTGATCGTGATGGATGGGAGACTCACTTACACTTACACTTACACCTGTGCTGTGCCCCCCATTTATAACTACCATTTCGCAGCATAACAATCACATACGACCATACCCACTGGAAAACTCGGGATCCCGTCCGCTCTCCCATAGATAAGCCAGTGAGGGCCAGACTAGTAGTTGGGTCGGTGACGACCAGCGAATCCCTGGTGTTGTATGTCTTTTGTCTTTTAATCGTCTTTTTTTTAATTTTTTTTTATGGAGCTTTCCGGGTGTCATCCTGTTTCGGAGACTTTTTTTAACTTTTTGGGGAACTTTTTGTGTGGGGAGTGAGTGCGTTGTGGAGAGTGGAATTGGAGTTACAGTAACTGAGGAGTGAACTGAGTGATCGCCGATCTTTGTGGAGATGTGAAGGGTCTTGGTGAAGTGGAGATGAGATGGTGACGACGATGGAGTGGATCATGTTTGTAAAGATCCGGATGCTTAACATTTAGACACTTAATGTTGAGGGTTGGGTTTGATGAAATGGGATGGATGTACTGTAATGAAGTGTGCCTTTTTTTTCTTTACAGCGTTTTTAGCTTCAAGGCGCCCCAAGGACATTGTGTTTACATCCTTTTGGCATCGTTGATATCGGCGTCGTTGGACGTCTCTCCAACGGAAGCCTTCTCAACCCTCGTATCGTGAATCTCCGATGTCGTGTTTCCCGGCGGATGGGCCTATCGTTCGTCTGAACTTCACCCGGGCTTTCGAAGTCAAAATACCCACATTCTACACCATGAAAACCGAAAACTTCGTTCACGTTCATAATGCACATCCACTAAGTGTTTACATGATGATCGTGTAGTTGACGATCCGAGTTAACGTACACCGCGATTATGTACCTTCTCAGCTCGACTTTGAGCTCCTGAGGCATTTGAAAGGCGGTAAAGCTTGCATATCTAGTAGCATCCGCAAAATATGCAAACCACTGCACGAAGCATGCATACACATGCACGAGTACACGTGGGCTGGACTATTAAGAGCTCGCTCAGGTTCTGATCCGAACAGCGAACCATGGAGCATGACTTGCGGGGTTTTGCAAAGAAAGAAGTCTTCCATAGGCGTGATAGGGAATATGAAATCGAAATAAGACGCTTGGCGAAAGGCAACATATTGAAGTTTGCAAAGTGAGGTGAAAAAAGAAGGGATTTGCCATGTACAACAAGGCCCTAAAAACAAGCAAGGTAAATCCCGTACACCAAGGACGCACAGGCTCACACAAGTGAGAGGACAAAGCTCACAAAGGAGGGACGGAGTAACCCGTTACCCGTCGCTGTGTGCTATTGTGAAGCGTGTAAATGAGGTTATGAGTATGAAATATGGTCACACAGTTGGGAATATGTTCGCAGTAGATGACGGAGGTGGGAAATGAGGATGGTAGTACACAGGGGCAAAGGGCGGGGATGGTTGTGTTACTGGTGATGAGTTGATGACTGGATCTTGGTTGAAGTTTCCCGAGATGAGGTTCGGCACTGCAACTGCAGAGTGTAGCTATGTAGAGATCCCGCTCGGGATGGTAGTTGTAAACTACTATCGAGGTGGTTGGGAGGATGTCCCCGTCCTTGTTGCTCAGACTTGGACTCGGATGAAGATCGTGGTCGACGTGGTGCATGCACAGAGGCAATGGTGGCCAGCGTGTCTCACCCAAAAGCCGGCACTAAAAAGAGCTTGATCCCTCTCGTTGCTTTTTCGCGTGCATTGTCTTTCACGTTGACCTTGGACTGGTGGTGAGGCCTCGGTGACCTCTGTCTCTGGTGTGTCTTCAGGCTGTATCTCTGGGCTGAAGAAGTCCAGCGGGACGAGTGACCACGTTCAGCGGGGCAATCTTTGTTAGCACGCTGCGGGAAAGGGATTCACACTTCAGCTGTAGGCGGAGCATCCCCAGCCTTCTGTCTTGTCGCTAGTCTGTGATTTCGGAGATGGGCGAGTGGTGGTTTTGATCAGGCTCCATCGCGATCAGATTTTATCATCTCTCGTTCTTGCGAACGAAATAGTTCGGAATGGCAGCCAACGGCGACAGAACTTGCAAGAGCAAGAGAATCTTGAAGACGAACAGAGCAAAGATTTGTGGTGCTCATGACATCAGTCCACTCTCCATGTCTTGGCGCTCTCCACTTGATGATGCGGGATGCATTCCGCTAGCACAGACCAGGCAAGGTCGGATGTGATCGAGCTTAAAGCCAAGTGAGTGCTGACGGGTGCCGCCGCAGGTACCAATCCTCCCCTCGTCTGATGTATTTTCAACGACATGTGTTAGCAAACGTGCTCCTTCAAACAGCCTCGAAACTATCGCAAAAGAACAACCAGCCCTCTGGGACTTTTGGCGTGGTCAAGTGGGGGAGAAGGAGGGGAATTCGCACAAAACCCACCGCCCACTATATCCAGTGATCCACTCTGCCCGCAGGCCAAGCGACGACAAGCGACGGGACTCCAGCTGCTCCAGGGTTAAAAAGACGACAGGGTTTCAGATAAATCTCGACAGATTGGCCAATCAGACATTGCCATATTCCTGTCCAGCATCGGGCTAGCACTGGGCCACTGGCTAGACTGGCCCTAGGTATCTCTCCACAGAGCAACATCATCGATGCAACCTCACTGACAACACCGCATTTTCCCCAACTGGGACCCAGGAAGTCATTCCCAGTTTTGCGAGCGATCTTCATCAAGAAGAAAAGGTTTTCTTCAACCACGCCGTCGGGAGATGGGCTGCCCAAAGAGCTTGAAGAGAATTGTAGAGTACCTACACGGCTTACGCAAGTACCGTACGATCGGGCAGCGGCCTTTGGCAATCTGGGCTTGGCCGCTTGACAGCGAGGAAACCCAGCCTCTTCCGTCACAGGCTCTCAGCACCTCTTCTCTGCTTGCTTCCATACTTCCATCCAGCAGCCAGTGAGAAAGGCCACGGCAGTCTGGTGGCAGGTTTAATGTCCAAAATCTCACCAATCCGCTGCGTACCACGGCAAATGGCCGGTTTTTGAAACACGGGAACGACCTTGCTCTGCTCGGGTTCTCGGAACAGTTTGTTGCTCATCTCATCATCTCCCAATTGCCTGCCGAGAGTTTGATGATTGATGAATGAGTCAACCGCGACGTGTACCATGACATCCCAACTCAACTTTTTGCTCCCCTCCAACGTCAACATCAAATCCAGGAACAGGAACAGAAACATGGCATCCCTTCTTGGCTCGCCAGGCACCATTATCCAGAAAGCAAAGAGAAAGGCAAATAGGTCATAGCGCATATGGTGACAGGGAGAGGTGTCAGATTCAAGGGTGGTTTTAGCCATACCATATGGAGGTTAGCGCTCCAGCCACCTGATATTGCCTAATTTCTGGGCATATCTGGGTTCCTCCAGCACCTCCTATACCTTCTGGGCGAGTCAGTCACACATACTCTTCAATTAATTAATTCTATATAGTCACATCTAACAATTAATAGTCTGATTTGCGTATTTACGTTCAATGCTACGATTATCGATTATAAGTAAGATCCCTACGAAACTAATAACGTTAACTATATTCTTATTAAAGGAATTTACTGATAAAGCTATTACGGTTATCTTTAATACCCCTACTAATTAGCCTAATTAATATAAATTCTCAAAAGATTCGCTAATAGTAATTAGGATTTTAATAATTGGCTACTTAAGGGAGGATTTATAATTTAGAGGGTTTTATCCCCGAAGCCGGAAAATTTCTTCCTTACTAAATAAATAAAGGACTGCCTTCTAGCGGTGAAAAAGGAGTTCATTAAATTTAATAGAGGAATCCAGATTAACAAGGTTATAATTATAATTATAATAATTATTACTACTATAGCTCTTAATACGAACGGTATTATTATCAAAACTACTACTACTATTTAATTCTAAGAAGAAGCCGCCGCTGGTGCTAATAAAGACGATAAGGAAAGAAGTTTAAGAGAAGAAGAGAAAGAAGAGGATAATAAATATTATACCGAATAGAATATTAGGGAGGATATAATTATTAACCTTTCTACTAACTTAATAATTACCGGGAAAGTAATTTACAATTAAATTAATAATATATATAATATTCGCTATAAATATTAAAAAGACTTCGACGACGCTAATATTCGAATTTGTAATTGGGTAAGTAGTTATATCGCTACCTACTATATTAATACTTTATTTAAATAGGATAAATCTACCTACAACTAGTTTAGAGAAATTGAAAATTAGATTAATTATTGACCTATCGATTAAATCGCTAAAATTTATCGAAATTATTAAACCTTTATTAAAAAAAACTATAAAAAAGTAACCTAAAGATTTTAAAAAGTAATTATCCGATTAGGAAATATTTATTATAAATAAAAAGAGATTCGGAATTAGTAAAACAATTTTCCTTATTTTATGGTTTACCGATTTTATCAATATAGTTTATAAATATAAGCCTATTTAGGTTAACAGTTTTTAGAAGTTCGATAACGAATTCGAAGAGATATCCTTAAAATATAAAAACGTATCCGTTAATTTTAAAAGGGTTAATATATTGGAACGTACTATACTATTAACTAATTTTAAGAATGTTATAATTCGTAGCGCTTAGGGTATTAGCCGTTCTAATTCGTAAAAATTCGTATTTAATAAAGAGGACGCTCTTAAATTTTAATTATAAAAAGAAGCGGAAGGTAAATATAAAGAGGAAATGTAACGTGGATAAAAATACGAAAGATTCTTTACGGCCGAAAAAGAAAGGAGGCGTTATGCCGCTTTATAAGGTTTATAATTAAAGCCCGTACCTAATAATGTATTATTAGTATTTAATAGTTAAAATTAAAGATAATTTTAAATAGAAATTAAGCGGCCCTATTTAGAAATTTATTAATAAATATTTTTAAAAATATCCCAAAATTAGTAAAGAGGTTAAAAAAGTTAAGAATTAAATACAGGACCGCTTTATTACCTTTACGTAGACTATTATTTCAAAAATTAAAGGAGATAAGAAATCGGTACCTATAATTTAGTATTTTTTATTAAATAAGGTATTTTTAATACGAATAGTGGTAAAAGTAATATTTATTTACTTAAGAATTCTATAATCCTTAATTCCGGGGCTTTTATCTATATTTTTAACGAAATTAATCGTTTCTCTTTATTTTAAATAGCGTCCTTAAAGGATGAAATTTAGGCTAGTAAATTTTAAATACCTATTAAAGATTTTAGGATTATTAATATAAAAATATAAGGAAAGAAGGGAGCTTTAAAATTATAGTTGAAAGAGGTAGCTTTCTATCTTAATTTTATTATAAATTTTATATTATTACGCCTATTTCGAAAATAAAGTTTTTATTAGGATTATAAACCGTTTAATAACTACCTCTATCGATTAAATAATTTACTCTTTTATTACCTTTAAAAAATTTATTATTAAATAATCCTCGAATATTTACCCCTCTCCTTTAATTACACCGCCTTCTTTACATATTAAAATTATTTTAATTCCTTTATTAGCCATTATATATATATAATGCCCGTTAAATTCTAATATAAACAATTCAGTTATTACGGTTTTTAAATTTTTAAATACGTTTATAATATTGAGGGCGCTAGATTTAAAGGGCCCGCTGCTTATTAGTATAATGCGTACAGTATTTTAAAGATTAAATAATAAATTAAACAAAAATTATAGAATAGGGGATTTAATCCGGGAGAGCGTTTCGCTATCGATTTCTTCGAATATAAAGTAGGGAAAGGTGGTTTTAAATACGTTATACTTATTATTTATCGATAGATTAAATTTATTTAAGATATTTATATAGCGAACCGAATAATTAAAACTATCGCTAAAGGATTCCTTTTAGTTATCGATATAATTAATTATTAATATAATATTAAAATTAAATATATCGAGTACGATAACGAATTTAATAGTTAATACGTTAAGAATAAGTTAGTTATACGCTTTATTATTTTTAAACCCTTAGTACTTAATATTTAAATTTAAAACGGTAGTGTTGAGCGTTTATGGGGTATAATTAAACAAAAAGCGTATATAATAATAAATAGCGCTAAATTTCCTTATAACCTTTAATTTGAAATTATTTTAGCTTCGGTCTACTTTATTAACCGACCGTTTAGGTATTTCTATAATTAGAAATTACTATATAAGCGGTTTTATACCTTCGTAGCCTACCGTAAGGGGGTGTAAACCGAACCCTACAAGCTTAACTTTCATTATTTACGTATTTACGGTTACAAAGTATATATGATAATAGGTATTATATAGAAAAAAGAGCAACTGCGTAAGAAATTTTAATTAAAGGTTTAAATTGGATTCTTTATTAGCTACGCTACTTTTTCTATTTATTAAATTTGGAACCCATAGATTAATCATATCGTCTATACTTATAATATACTTTTTAACAAAGATTTAATTTATTTAAAGAACTTTAATAATTTTAAGGAAGGATTAAAGCTAATTAGCGACGAGATTATCGATTTATTTAATTAAATTAATTAACTTCCTTAGCTATTTATACGATATTTCGAACCCTTTAATATAATTTAAGATATAGAAGATAATAGTCTTACCCCTCTCTTACTGTTATTTTTCGATAACGAATTTTAAAAAAATAATAACGAGACCGTTTCGAAATTAATAGAGCCTACCGCTTAGAATAAAATATTTATCGACTTTATATTTAATTACCCTACTCTATTAAATATATTATTAACTACTTTTATTACCGGCTTTATAATAAGAGAAAGTCTTTTCGCACCACTATCATTGTCTTTAGGCACTGCCGCTCTATCCTTCCTGCCCTTCTAGCCAATTAAACACTTCGTATCCTCCCCCATCTTCACCCATCGAATCCTCACACCAGTCTAGCACATACTACGCCCGCCAAGCTCCTAGATTTCAACCCATTACACATTTTGACCCCTACACAGGCCACTTTGCATACTGCACTGGCCAGTACTAGTACTTTATTGTATTTAATTAATCTACCTCACGGCAATACCAGTACGTCGCATTACTAAGTAAATAAAATAGTCGCATCTAGTCAATGGTATGGAATGATGCATCACTTTTCAGTACGTTTTCCCAGCTAACCGTGATGCAGATGGCCGATGCAGCGACCCAGCCCGCGTGCGACCGTGGCGTGCTGGATAGTGAAACTTATGAAAAAATACACTTGAGATTCGATAAGTGGAGATGGGGAATGATGCACGCAATTTGATTGGTTAGAAGGGCGGGAAGGGTGGGGCGGCAGTGTCTGAAGACAATGATGGCGGTACGAAAAGACTTTCTCTATAATAAATTTGCTAGAGCCTATCTCCTTCCCGACCTTCAAACTATAGGAAGCCGTGTTTAACGTTGGGAGATTTGTTTAATTAATTAGGCAACGGTAGGGTAAAATAATTATAAAGGTAGAAATTAACCGCTTAATTTCTAAAGGTAGTAAATTAGATTCTATTAAACGTTAAAACCTCCTTCTAATTTTAAAGACTTACCGCGATTTCGAATATTACGATTTAAATAATCTCTTTAAGTAAATACAAGAAATATCTTTTAATAATTATAAAGAAATAAAATTACAAGTTAAAATTAATAAAAACGTTGCTTATATTAAAAGCCTTTAAATCTTCGACTATATAAATATATATATATAAATTTAATCAATATAATCGGTTATTAAAAGTAAAAATTCGTTTCGTAATTAGAGGAAATTAATAGTATAATCATAGTAAAGAGACGTATACTTCTATATTAATTAGTCGTTTATTTCGGTCAATTATTACCCACGCTACTAAATTTAATTTCGAATTTATTTAATATAATATAATAAATACCTTCATTAACGCCTACTTCGATAAGGAGATTTATATACGTATGCCCCCTAATTCTTAAAAATATAGTATTATCTTTAAAATCTTTAAGGCCCCTATAATTTTTATTAAATTCTCTTATTATATTAACGAGAATTTAATAGAACCTTCGAAAATTTATGGTTTAACCCGTTATTCGAAGACTTATATATTTTTAAATATAATAGAATTTTAATTTTCTATTACGTTAACGATATTATTTTCGCTTTCAGTAAATTATAGTACGATAAAATTATCCGGGTTACAAAAAAGCTGGAAGAAAAATATAAATTTATTAGTAATAATAATTTTTAATAGTTTTTAGGTATCGAAATTATTCGAAACCGAAAGGCAAGTTATATTTAATTGTCCTAACGGGAATATATCTATAAAATTACTAAATTAATTAAAAATCACTATACCTTCGTTTTTATTCTAATAAATAACGAAGAGTTTATATTTTATAATAGCGTAGCCTTTTTCGAATAGATCCGAGAGTATTAGATTATTATCGGCTCTATAATATACGTTATTATAATTACCCGGTTTAATATCGCCTTCGCCACTAGCTGATTGGTTAATTATAATCATAATCCTGGTCCTTAATATTATAAGGCTATTAATGAAATTTTGTACTATTTTTAATATTACCTTAATCTTTCTTTTTATTACAATAAATTAACGAAATTCGAGATTATTTTAAATATATTGTACGCCGAGAATTCTTTAAATCGAAAGAGTTTATATGAATTTATAATTAAATTCTTTAGTAATTTAGTTTATTAGGGTATAATTAAATAAAAAACAGTATTTACTTTAACAATAGAAGTAGAGTTATTATTAATTTTAAACGTTACTAAGGAAGTTATTGCTATTATATATTTATATAAAGAGATTAATATTCCCTTCGATAAGGATGTATTTGTGATCGGTTATAATAATATATAGACGATTTGTATATTAACTATTAAAGTAGCGAAATTAATAATTAACTTAAAATAATTTAATATTTATCGTTATTAGTTGAAGTAGGAGATTATGGAGGGAAGGATTGAAGTTGAGTATTTAGAGACGAAGAAAATACTAGCCAATAGATTGACGAAGGTTCTAAGATAATTAGATTACGAGAAATTCCAAGAATTAATAGGAATAACGAATGTATTAGTTTATAAGGAAATAGGGATAGATAAGGAAATTCTAGATAATATTTTGGAGGATATTTATAGTTTAGTTGGAGAAATTAACGTATTAGAATAGAGATTTTGTAAATAGTTTTACTTTTACCCTATTTAGAAAGTCTGTAAGTGAGAGGGTATATTAGATTTAAGGGTGGTTTTAACTATACTATATAGAGGTTAGCGCTCCAGCCACCTGATATTGCCTGATTTCTGGGCATATTTGGGTTACCTTAGTACCCCCTATACTTTCTGGGCGAGTCAGTCATATATAGTCTTCAATCAATTAATTCTGTACGGTTATATCTGACAAGAGGTAGGTACCGCACCAGCTGTGTGCCTGCCACCTCAGTTAAGCTTCCAGTTGCAGTGCATAATGTGGCTTGCTTTTTTCTCTTCTCTTTTCTTTTTTTCCCTTTCAGTTTCTTGGCAACATGGAAGAGCTGGCCCTGGCCTTGGCAGCCTGCCCTGGACGACCTGGCCCTGACCTGGGCCCTGCAAGCAACGTCACTCGGTCACCTTATCACCGGCGACGCGACGACAATGTTAGACCAGCTTCGAGCTGCTAGTGGTCACTGGCTCTGTTGCGATGGAGATACAAACTGAATCTAGGCTCGTCCTTGATGCTGTTCGGGACCCCAAAAAAAAAAAAAAACCACGGGGCTGGTGGCTGGTGGTGGTAGCTGGGAGCTGGTAGGTGAGTTCGGATGTGGCAGCTGTCAATGATGCTATCGGGCATCGTTCTTGTCTTTGTTTTCTGTATTGGGTGATGAAATGGTTCTGGGCAGCGAGATCTGAAAGGTCCAAACAAAGAAATATCGTCCACCGTCTACACTACCCAGTACCATGTACCAAGTGGAAACTGGGGTCCCGGCTGGTGGTTGTGGTGCTTGCTGGACGACCGACGTCGTAGCACCCTGGTTGCATCCGGACGACGGAGTCGCTCGCTTCTCTGATGGAGACGATGGCGGGAATGACAACACCAAGATCAGACTCCACTTTTTGTTTGGTGGCAGCCGAGCAACCTGGTTGACCTGGATGGATGGAGTCCAACGACATCAATGGAGCTCCAGACGAAAACCACTGTTCGTTGTTTCCTGTTGTGGGCACAAACCGTGGCTGCCCTGGCCCGTTCCGTCAGTCGTCACTGCCTGTGGTAAATTATAAACAGGAAGGCACGAGGTGCTACACCCAGTCGAGTCCTTTCCATCTTCCATCTCATCCAGCCTACCCTGCCTTGGCAATTCCTGCGTTTGTCTCACTTCGAAGGACCAGACGACATTTAATTTGCACCACCCTCTGCCCAAATCAGCTCCAGTCGCCTTCACTCTGCTCTCACCTTTCTCCCACCTCGACCATCTGCCCCACCAAACAAAACCTACTTGGACCGCGACTTCTTGTCTCTGCCTCCTTCCTCACTCACCTTCAACAATAATCTATCTCGGACATACCTCTAGTCGCCGCCTACAACCACACCCAACCACCACACCAACATCTCTACATCCATCAAAATGAAGGCCTCTGCTATCCTCGCTCTTGCCGGCGCTCTTGCCGTCAGCGCCCAGTTCCCCGACAACTTCCCCAGCTGCGGCGTAAGTAGAGCCTCATGATGAACAAGCCATGGGTAAAGAAAACCATGTACTAACCGCACCCTTCAGAAAACCTGCGGCAACAACATGCTCGACAAGGCTGGCTCTGAGTTCCAGTGCGGCCGTGATGATGCTGCCTGCTTGTGCAAGGACGTCAACTTCGGCTACGGCATTCGCGACTGCTCCATCGCTATCTGCTCTGAGAGCGACGCCGACACCGCCATCAACTGGGGCAAGCAGTATTGCGCTGATGCCGGTGTCACTGTCAACCTTCCTCCCGCCTCTGCTGTAAGTTCACGCATTTCACAGGTAACAAGCAGTCCAGCACTAACAACCACATAGGGTCCTGGCTCCGGCTCCGGTTCCGGTGCTTCTGGCTCTGCCTCCGCTGTCACCACTTCCACCGTGATCACCACCGTCAGCTCTGCCATCAGCACCGTCACCTCCGTGACCATCGTTTCCTCCGGCTCTCCCTCTGGCGGCGCCGGCGCTGGCGGTTCTGCTAGCTCTGCCTCTGGCGACGCCACCGCTATCACCACCAGCGAGTTCACCTCCACCTTCACCAGCGGCGAGTCCACCATCACCACCACCGGTACTACCACCGTCTCTGGCGTCTCTGGCGTCGCCGGCGCTACCTCGGCCCCCCAGACCACCGTCACCAACCCCGTTGTTTCCACTGTCACCTCCGAGAGCTCCACCTTCGAGACTACTGTTGGTAGCACCACTTTCACCTCGAGCGTCACTGGCTCTGCCCTCAGCTCTGCTCTCCAGAGCCAGGCCTCCAGCTCTTCCAGCGCTGGTGCTGTAAGTTATCATCCGTTCTTCAGATCCAGTCAACAAAGATGCTAACAAACAATCTCCAGCCCCCTCAGCAGACCGCCGCTCCCATCGCCGGCTTCTTCGCTGCCGCTGGTCTCGCCGCCATGCTTCTCTAAGCGCAACGTCGACAAAAAACTTTCCTTTTGTTGAGCTCGGACATATTTGACTGACACGATTTGGAATGATGGCTTTTTAACTAATGATATGATGAATGGCGCCAAATCTTAATGACCTGGAAAAGTTTGGAGTCTGGTAGATTCTCTTGTACATATGTAACATTCTGGGGTTGGTTTTTTTTTTCTTCTACACTGTTACTCCGGGAGATGATACCATTGCGATGGAATTTAATCTTGGGAATGGATGATGGATGGATGGGGTTAGTTAATGATTGATGTATGAACATCTTCTCATTCTGCTTACTGGAATACGGTAGCTGGGTGGAAGATAGGTTAAAGGTAGATGGTTAAAGAATAACATCTTACAAATTAAATTACTTTGGTTGTCCCCTTTGTGAGTTGGCAGGACATGGCAGGACATGAAGAAACACCACTGTAGTAGCTTTTCGATTCCTACTGAAGTCAGCCATATTGTCCACAGCCGAGGGGGAAAACGAAGAGGAGAGCGTAAAGCAAGTTATCATTTAGCAGCTTGATCGAGTCAATGTGGATTGCTCATGTTGACATTGCGACGGGAGTTCGCGGTAATCGACACCTCTGCCGAGTGGAATGAGATAGTCCACGAGTCCTTGCAGAGCCAGCTTCAACTTCTTCCCCCTCCTCCAGATGACGTTCATCTAAGCCATTTCGTTCCGCCAACGTTCAACCACACCTGCCACATCTTTCCCTTCCCATGAAAAACTCCCTCCCGCCCAAGCTTCATTTTTCCCATTGATGTCCCGATCAACACATCCACTGAGCCCGGTGGGAAGCGTAAATCTAGGACGGTCACTGGTGACATATGACCCTCCATGGGGGAAAAGACGTCCAAGTCAGGTCTCCCGACCACCATGAGCAATCCGTCCGTCCACGCTCACTCGCTCAGTTGTTGAAGAAGAAGCAAACCCAAGAATACAATGCTTTTAGATAGTACGGTAAATCTATAACACCTTATTTACAACAAGCCAATATAACACATGATAACTTTTGTGGTAGTTCATACAAGCCATAACATCATAACGCACGTGCCCTCTCCCATTTTTCTACCCCATTCTCTTCCCCCACCAAGCTTTTCGAGCTCCTCCTCAAGCATCTCTCCTACTCCGTCAAGTTTGTCTGTCATCTAGGCGCTCAAGCTCCTCCGCTGGCCTGGCCGCTCTCAGTCGTCCGGCTCCTCAATCTGCTCTGCTCGTTCTCTTCCCCAAATGTACGTTGGGATCCAACCCGCTCTAATGCCTTCCGTTGTTCGTGGCAAACCTGGAATACCGCTGCGAATCCATCAACAGCTGTTGATCAGGCGTTTGCTCATCTTCGTACTCTTCTTCGTCCTTGACTTGGACATTATCATCTTCTTCCTCTTCGTCCTCCTCCACGTCGTCGTCCTCTTCCATCATGACAATTTGATCTTGGTCCTGCTCCATCAGTTCTGGATCAACATCCTCTTCTTCCTGTTGCTGGCGCTGGCGGCTATTCTTTTGCTGCTGCTGAACAGCAGGAGCAGAAGTAGCAGCAGGAGTAGGAGTAGGAGTCTGCGGCGGCGGCGCGAACCTCGCCTGCGCCTGCGCCGCCGAACCAGGGGCAGTGTGACCGTGACCGTTCGCGCCATTAGCGGCGGCGACCGGCGTGGGGGTGTTGACAACAGCAGCAGAAGCAGCGGAAGCAGAAGCAGCAGCAGAGGCAGAAGCAGCACTACCAGCCTGCTTCCCCCTCAACCCCTTCTTCAACTCCTTCCTCCTCGCCTCCCTCGCCGCTTTAAGCTGGGGATGTCGTTGCATGAACTTGGGTCCCCAATGCTTGCCCACCGTCACACTACCACTACCCAATCCTTCCCCCTCTTGCCCCTCTCCCTCCCCTTGACCTTCCTTATTAACCCCCTTCTCCTTCTCCTTCTCCGCCGTCCCCTTCCTAACCAGCGCCGTCCTCACCCCTCCCTTCTTTTGACTCTGCCCCTGCCCCTGCCCCTGCGCACCCTCCTTCAATCCAACCTCCAAAACCCGATCAGCAAACCGCCTGATATCCTCCATCTTAACCGGCAGTCCCAAGTTCTCTTGAGCCAGCACCCACATGGCGATGTTCTCCTCTTGCTCGGGCGTGAGTTTTTGCATTTCCCGCGAAGAAGTCTCGTAGGAGCGCTTGGCTTGCGGTGTGCCTTGGAAGTGCCGCTGAAGCGTGGAGAAGGGGATGGAGTGCGCTTGGGCGGCTTTGCGGATGGAGAGGCTGCCGGAGGAGACGGCGGCTATGGCGGCGGAGAATTGGGAGGGAGTGTATTGTTTTATGTGGGAGGTGGAGCGGGGGCCGGGCATTTTGGCGGTGGTTGGTTTGGGAGGGGGGTTTGATGGGGGATGGATGATGGGTGATGATGTTGGTGGGTGGGTTGGTTGATGGGATGATTTGAACGGGCAATCCTAGAGATAGTAGGTTCGAAGATGGTCGAGTTGCGAGTTTAGAGGTGCCCAACTCGACTTGGTATGGGTAACTGAGCCGGGAGATGGAGGTGGTGAAGATGCTATCTCGGTAACCTTCCTTTGGGCTGAGGTTGAGGCTGATGAAACGTTTCTTGTGAAGACCTAGGTCCGTTTAGGTGGAATGACTGAGATGGTTCAGTCGAGATCTGAAGAGTTGGTTGGAGTTGTAGACTCTTCGGATATCGCGTGTAAGAGAAGTGATGCTCGCTAAAGAATTTGTTAGTTGCGTGACCTGACCAAAACCAAAACTTGCCTGGAGGATGCTGACCGAGGCAAGTGGGATGAGAAACTTACCGGCAAGAAAGAAACAGGTATATACTCTTCAATTGTAGGAAAAAGTTCGATGACGAAAGTGGTGTCGTGATCCAAGAGTCAAGTGTCCAGGTCGCTCCTCAAGAAATCTCCAGTTCGAAAAAAGTTTAAGATGGAAAAGAATGGACGAGCGCTAACAGTTCAATTACGTGGCGCTACGCATATCCTGTTAGCGACCCAAGAATCTGCGGCGCCACTTGAATCAGGCAACCTTGACCGGAACACGTGACCTGGCGCATTTGTCGCGCCTCTGGGTTGGCCCGCCAGCACTGCAATGGTCCACTAAAATGCACGCCCGTCTGCATGCGTGCGTGTGCACCTGACGTACGTCTCGGCGTCTCGCGCTCTTTCGTCTGAACAACAAACCTTTGTTTATCTCTTTCAAGTATTCATCAGGCTGTGACTATCCTCACCATTTATCATTGGACTGATATATTCATCACAACATACTCAGCGCAATACATCTACTTCAATATCACCAATTCACACCTCAATCCCGTACTCCACCCGCCTGACGTCATCCGCCACTGCAGCACCCAAAACACTGAACCTTCGCGTCAACGACATCTCCGAAGACAAGAACAGCTCGGCACAAGAATAACTCGAAGAATCAATCAATCAATCACCAGATCCTTTCCAAAATGCCAGTAACACGCAAATCCACCCGCTCTCGCGGCGCCGCCGCCGCCGCCCAAGGCAAACAGCAGACCCTCTCCTTCAACCACCGCATCACCAAGCCGACCGTCAAAGCCGGCAAAGACCTTCTCGTCAAACAGGAGGAGGCACCTAAGACCGTAACCGAGACCAAGGACGTCAAGGTCGAACACAAAATCGAGGTCGAAGACGATGTCATTGAAGTACCCGAGACCGAGTCTCAGTCGGAAGAGGCATACGAGGAGAAGGAGAAGAAGCCACATGCCAAGGCGAAGAAGCCTGCGAAGAAAGCCGTGACTAAGGATGTCAAGAAGGAAACCAAGGAGGTCTTCAAGGAGAAGGAGGGAGAACCAGAGCCGAAGAGGAGCGAAGTCGAGCTCCGCGCCCTCGAGCTCCCGCAGTCCGCTATTGACTCCTACTGGCTCTCCATCGACTCGGCGCGCATGGCGCGGACTGTGCACAAGAAGCATACCGAGGGACTGACGACGGGGGAGAAAGTGCTGAGGTATTTTGATGTTAGCAGTCATTATGGTGTAAGTTCTTTTTCCCTTCTTTCTTCCCCTTTATCGACCTCCTTCCGCTCTTTGTCGTTTCGAAAAGAAAATTGAGAATTGGGGCTATGTGGCTGACGCTTATGAAAATGGGGTAGCCTTGCATTGGAATCTCCAGATTGAAGCGCTGGCAGAGGGCGGAGAGACTGGGTCTTAATCCGCCACTTGAGGTTCTGGCTGTTTTGTTGAGGGAGGAGAAGGAGAGCGGGAATAGGGCTATTGAGAGGGCGCATATGGATGAGCTCATGAATAGTGTTAGCACTGGGCCTTAAACCAGGTTCTCGGCTTTGGAAAGACAGTTTGGGGGAGTGTGGGAAACGGCCAGCGGCTTTTAAGTATGGAATGGGATGGGATAAGGGGGTCACAGTACACAGTTTTAGCTGGATTGGCGAGGTGTTTCTGGGAAATGATGTTCGGGAGTTGGTATTCGGGAGATTTACGTTGGGTATGAACATGTAGCAACGTAACGAATGGGATTTGGGTCGGGTTTCAGGTCGCATCGATGCTATACTATCCACATGTCAACGATGCGCCAAGTACTCTATAACGTCTCTTTTCTCTAGGATCAACATTCTAAAAAAAATCTAGTAGGTGTATCCGCGGCCTCATCTTGTCTGGTCCATTTTTCTTTCCCTTCTCCGATTTCTCCCTCTTGTTCCTCCGTCTTTTCTTACTTCTTTCTGCGTCTTCTAGGCAGGCCATCCCTTTTTTGCTGTACTATCTCCAGTCCAGTACTTCACCAGACCCCCCTAACAAAAGCCTCCCAGCCCCCCAACATCTAATACCAAATACTCCTCGTCCTATGATGCGGAATCTTCTCCCCTCCCTCAGCCTCCAACTCCTTCACAACATCATACAAAAAGAAATCGATCAACACCGCATTCACCTTCCCCTTCGCCTCGGGATGCTCCCAGATAATCTCCCGTCTAATCAACTCCACGCACCAAATGCTGCACGCCCTTAACTGCATCTCCCACTCTCCTCCATGCTCAATCATCCTCTTCTCGCGCACAGCCGCCTCCAGCGTGGGACCGTACAACAGGCAGTTGAGCTGCCAGAGCATCTGCGGGATGCGGTAGTCGGCGAACATGGTGATTTTGTCGATGTCAGAGAAGGAACCGTAGGATTGCCCTTCGAAACAGGCCCAGAGGTCGGCGACGAAGATTTGCGCGCGTTTGAGAATGCGGATGGGTTGGCGCCGGCCGGGGTGGGGGTGGATGTCAGCGAAGCAGGGGAAGTCGGAGGCGAGGAGGTTGACGAGGGCGGCGGCTGAGCCGTTTGCCTCTTCGATGAGGTCGAGGACGGAGCCGTCGTATTTCTCGTGGAGGACTTGGCCGGCTTCACGGAGACAGTCGAATCGTTCTTGCAGGAGGGGGATCTCCTCGTCTGTGGCGGACCTGAAGACGTTGCGGAGGACGTCTAGGGTGAATTCTTCTTCATTGATCCAGAAGGCTGGGTCGGTGATGGGGATTCCTGCGATAGGACGCCTGTGGTCAACGAAAGGTTCCTTTATTGTTTACATACCGCAAATTCTCACTCATAACGGAGATGCTCTTTGGGTTAGGCCACACCTTATGCGGGCGTTGTTAGCCCGCTCTTAGCTACATATGCGGCGATCTTGCAACTGGATTGGTTCATAAGCCTAGTATGACCCACAAAGCATATCCGTTATAAGTGAGAATTTGCGGTAGCTACAATACGACCACAACAAACACATCATCACAGTCAACAACAACAACAGAGACAATAACCAACCTACCTTCCTCTAACCCCCTCTGCAACCCCGCCACCAAATTCCAATACCCCGTATGCCTCTTCCCCCTATACTCGATCTGAAACCTCTCCTCCTCGCTCTTCTCCGACCAGAACGAAAAGTTGAGGATATCCATCGCAAAAATAAACTTAACCGTCTCCTCATTTTTCTCCTTGGGGTGGAGTTCGTGCGTCGACCAAGTGGCTGGCGAGTACTCCCGCTGCTGCATCTGCTCCCAGATGGTGTTGGCAGCCTTTTTGCACCCGCGCATGTCCAGGGCCACGTCGATGGCGTGGTTGTAGACGAATTCGGCGGATTCGAGGACGCCGGTCTCGGCGGCGGTAGGGGTGGCGGTGTTGCCCATGAGGTGTTGACGCAGGAGCTCGAGGAGCTCGGGGTCGGTTTCTTCGTCGGAGGAGTAGGACATTTTGGGGGTGGACTTAAGGGTGTGTTGATGAGATGGGAGGTGTAGGGGAATGTAGAAAAGTGAAGAGATGGGAGTTTTGAGAAGAGAGGAGTGATGAATTGTGATTTTTTGAAAAGTCATGAAGTTTGAGGAAGGGGTGTTGGAAGTCCGTGCCCTGGGCCGCCCATTCACTTAGCGCCCATTCACCGGCACTCCCTTCCAGGTATTTAGGCTGCCCTGGTTTCCGTTTCTCCTCTTCCGTTAGACAACTCAAGAATCAAACCCTTTTCGTTGTCGCCGCCTTTTCCGGCCTCCAACAAGGGGGTCAGGGAAGGAGTGAGCAAACGGGACTGGAAGGTTGCATTGTGAGTGTAGCACTGTCAGGGGCAAAGATAACCCTGAGAGTATGACTACCAGGAACTGATCCTCTTGAACTCGTGGGAGCGAACACTCGAGTTTATGGTCAGAAAACTGATATCCTGGATTCATACTCATACTTCTCATACGTAGAGCCTAGAACATTCTCTAAAAACACCGACCCAGTCTTTGTTTGTCTGCATGTTCCTCTTTCAGATGGTCAGCCGTTATGAATAAGTGGACCCCCACCGCAACACAAAATCAAAGTGGTTGCAGCTTGCAGCAGGGCGACCAATAAGACTCGGAACTTACCGTGTGCCTGCCGGAGGATCGTCAAGGCCAACCCCGGAATGCTTTAGCGTGTCGCTGAAAGGAATCATGACGCGCGACCACCAGAAGTGCTGAAGTCTTGACCTGGAAGGAACTGTCGCTGTCTGCCGATTCAGTGGTCGCTACTTTCCTCTGACTTTGCATCCACGAGGCTGAACTTGCTCCATTTCAGCTTTTCCTCACCTCTTTCCTGGCTTGACATCAGATTGTCCTGGGTCAACAGTGATCGCCCGCTCAACGTGAAACAATAAGCAGCGAAAAGTCCGCACCCCGAACCACATTCAAGCTTGGTCGCACCTTTGGTTGTCCAGGCGCAAGCCTCTTCAACTCTCGCGATGGACCCCACGATGGGCAATCCCATGGTCCCCATGACCGCGCAAATACCAGTGCCAGTTGCGCAGCCTATCCCCTTGCCGGTGTTGACGCGGGATAGCTACAACTCGCAATCACTAGGGCGGTCTTTAAATGGCAATGTCAAGCAGGTACGTGCCTTCCGTGACCACGATAAACCTCCCCGTCGCTTTCATCCCAAGTCGTCTCCTCGGCAACCAGTGAAGGCCTTAAATGCTGTCGCAACTGGCTTGTATAGAATTCACTTCCCAATGCCCCTCCAAATCCAAACCACCCTTCCTGCTCGTCGCGCCCACAACCACCATCATGGCTTCCGAGTTGACTACCGAAGCGGTTCTCGCGGCAACTCCGGCAGAAACTCCCGAGACTCTGCTAACGACTTCCTCACAGGCGCGCGTGCTTATGGTAGGCGCCGGCGGCATCGGCTGCGAACTCCTCAAGAACCTCGTCCTTACCGGCTTCGGCGAAGTCCACGTCGTCGATCTCGACACCATCGATCTCTCGAACCTCAACCGACAGTTTCTCTTCCGTCACGAACATATCAAAAAGTCCAAAGCCCTTGTGGCCAAGGAAGCCGCGCAAAAGTTCAACCCCGCCGTCAAGATCGTCGCCCACCATGCGAACATCAAAGACGCGCAGTTCAACATCGAGTGGTTCAGCAGTTTCAGGATAGTCTTCAACGCCCTCGACAACCTCGAAGCCCGTCGCCATGTCAACAAGATGTGTCTCGCCGCCGACGTCCCCCTCATCGAGAGCGGAACAACTGGTTTCAACGGCCAGGTACAAGTCATTAAGAAGGGTGTTACCGCCTGCTACGATTGCGCGCCGAAGGAGACGCCGAAGTCCTTCCCCGTATGCACGATCCGCAGCACACCGAGCCAGCCCATTCACTGCATAGTGTGGGGCAAGAGTTATCTGCTCAACGAAATCTTCGGAGCGAGCGAAGACGAGTCAGCATTCGATCATTCTGTTGATGGCGACAATGCGCAGGAGATCGAGGAACTCAAGAGGGAGTCGGCAGCGTTACGAAAGATCAGGAATTCTGTGGGTACAGAAGAGTTCGCGCAGATGCTCTTCGAGAAGGTGTTCAAAACGGATATTGAGCGGTTGCGTTCGATGGAGGACATGTGGAAGACGCGCAAGCCGCCTGAGCCACTCAACTACAAGGACCTTCTCGAAAAGGCCAAGTCGCTAGACAAGGAGAAGGTGCTCAAGGATGCTCAGAAGGTGTGGTCGCTAGAAGAGAACCTCGTTGTCTTCAACGACAGTCTCGAGCGACTTAGCAAGCGGGTTCTGGAGAGCAAGAACGCTGGCCAAGAATCCATCATCACCTTTGACAAGGACGACGAGGATACCTTGGACTTTGTCGCCGCGAGCGCCAACATCCGCTCAGCGGTGTTCGGTATTGACAGAAAGTCAAAGTTCGACATTAAGCAAATGGCGGGCAACATTATCCCTGCTATCGCAACGACCAACGCCATCGTTGCTGGTCTTTGCGTGCTGGAGGCATTCAAGGTCCTGAAGGGCCACTACGAGCAGGCAAAGGAAGTTTTTCTCACGCCGTTTGCTAATGCGCGCATGTTGGCTTCCGACAAGTCAAGGGAGCCTAACCCTGATTGCCCGGTCTGCGGTGTCTACCAGACGAGAGTTTTTGTCGATCTGGAGAAGGCGACGCTTAATGATCTGGTAGAACATTTGATCAAGACGGACTTGGGGTATGGCGAGAAGGACTTCGCCATCAGTAATGAGGTCGGCATCTTGTATGATCCTGATGAGACGGATAATCTGGAGAAGAAGCTTTCGGAGCTGGGTATGTCGTTTTTGCTTCTGGTTATCAAGAGAGTCGCTAACATCGTGCAGGCATCAAATCCGACTCCTTCCTGACCATCACCGACGAAGACGACGAGGAGCCGTTCGTCAACGTCGTCATCGCCATCCAAGAAGCGTACGTCCTTTTATACCCCTTCCACGTTATACCATCACTAACACTCCCAAAGCAAGGAGCCTCTAGGAGACAAACCCGTTAAGGGTATCCTCGACCCAGAGGATGTCAAGATCCCACTCAAGCCCAAGAAGCAGCCGCAGCCCGAGCTCGTAGCCACCCCCGCACCAACCAACGGTAACAGCACATCAAACGGCCAGAACGGAGGAGTCATAGACCTCGACGGTGATGAGCCAATGGCGACACCAGCCAAGTCGCTCAAGCGCGGACATCCCGAAGATGCAGAGGGTCCATCGGTCAAGAAGATCAAGGCCAACGACAAGGCGGCGGATGATGATATCGTCTTCATCGAGGATAGTGCGGGTGCTATCGTTATTGATGATGACTGATTGGCTTCGCACATCAGCACTTTACTGTGTCCTGTCCGCGGCACACTGTTGCGTTGCAGACTCGGCTCATAGGTAGGCCGTGGTTACGGTCACCATATACTACTACAAAGCTTGCTATTCTTGCTATACTAGCCGCTTGATCACCACGGATACCCACGGGAAGCGGTGCGTCGTTTTAGACAGAACTTAACCCACCGTCGAGATTGAGTACGCAATTGTTTGCATACGGATTCTTGATGAGGAAGAGGGCGGCGTCGGCGACTTCATCTGTTGTTCCGAAACGACCTAAGGGGATTTGTTGGAGGATCGAAGGGTTTTTGAGACCTAGATGAGATGAGAGATGTCAGTTGGGTCCTGCCATGGAGATCTTGAATGACTGATAGTCAAATGAGATGATCTGGGCTCTTTTGAGACATTTGCAATTTCTAGCGGGGCGAAAGAGACTAAGGAACAAAATGGATTGAAGATCAAGGGGATGAATGATGATGATAGTGTAGATTCTTGTTTAGAATACGTCTGATAGATCATAAGGATTCCTCCTTCGATCTTGTCGTTGTTCTAGTGTGTGTAGGGCGTTGACCTAAGGATGATATGGATTGGACGGATGGGCATGTATTGCAAGTGCGAGCTGTTGGTTCTCTTGTTCTTGATGTTCGTCTACGCGAGGAATGCAAGCTTTCAGAGAAGAGCCCATCTGCCAGTTGTACCCAGCCTTCCATACGAATAGAACGAAACGCCCGAGTGAAAAGGATTCCATAAAGTGCTTGCAAGGTCATCATCGTGGATGCTCAGTCCACAGTTACGTATCAATCTCGAGGATATATCACTTGAACAACAGAAGCAAAGTGCGAAGAAGAGGAAAAGTGAAAAGACTCACCAGTAGTCATGTCCGTCTCGACATACCCCGGCAGAACGGCGTTGACTCTTATCCCGGATCTGCCGTACTCGTTTGCGAGGGAGGTTGTTAAGCCTGTTCGTTGTCGTCCATGTTAGCTAGTGTTGCTCATCCTTTTTCATACTTCCTATCCCTCTGATGCCCTCATATCATATCCCACGATTTCCATTCTTTTCCGTTCCTCTTGCCGTTTGATGCCTTGAATCCTCGTCCGTCACTTCCTCATCAGGGCATCTCATACACCCTTCCTCGTCCTTCGCCTTTTCCCTACCTACTCTAACCAACCAGTCCAGTCCATGTTCATTATCCGTCCGTCCCCTTTCAACTCCCATCTTCGTTCACCCACCCACCCCTGGGCTTTCTTCCCATCACCAACCAGCCCATCCTTCAATCAAACACGACGGATGTAATCCAAACAGAGAGAAATAAAAAACTTACCAACAACCCCAGCCTTAGCAGCCGCATAAACACTCGTTCCCACCACCCCCTTTTGCGCGAGTAGACTTGCCACGTTGACGATTACGCCCCGTTCAGCTACCCCCTCTTGAACTCCCTCTTGCACCTCTTGCGCCTCTCCCTTTGACCCTTCTTGAACCGCTTCCGTAGGCCCCTCCGCTTTCGGTTTACTTGTACTACTGCGATTGCGATTCCGCAACATAGCCCTCCCAACGAATTTACACCCCAACACCGTCCCCGTCAGATTCGTGCCCACCAACTCCTCCACTTCCTCCACCGCGGTCTTCATCAACGGCGAGCGCTGCGTGATTCCGGCGCAGTTGATCAGGATGTCTACCCTCCCGCAACTCTTCAATAACCCCTCCCAAGACTCTGCGCTTGTTACGTTTAAGGGGTGGTAGGATACCCTTTTGTCGCCATCCGGCGGGGGGGTTGAGGCGTCTGGTTGGGTTTTGGATGGGGATGGGGAGCTGCTGGTGCTGGTGGAAGAGGCTGGGGAGGAGGGTGTTGGTTGGGAAGACTGGGAGAGGAGTAAAGATTGGGCGTGGCGGAGGGTTGATTCGGTTCTGCCCAAAAGGGTGACGGAGCAGCCTTCGATGTGGAGGCGGCGGGCGATGGCGAGACCGATGCCGCTGCCGCCGCCGGTTATGAGGGCGTGTTTGTGGAGGAGGGTGCGCATTTTCGGTAGGGTTCGGGGAGGCCTCGGGACTTCAAGTGGGAAGAGATTTGGGCGTGACGATGTGGTGATGGTGATTCGTAGGCGCGGTAGTGTGGGAGTGGGGATTGGTGATGTTGAGAGTGGTGACGGGCGTTTGTAAGAGCGATGGGGTGGTCGTAGGTCAATGTCGTCGATTGTCCAGTCTTGGCGTCGATTAAACTGTCGTCTTAATCACCGGTAATGTCAAAGTGGAGATCCCGCAAAACCTCCGTCTCGGCGCTTGATCTTCGGTCGTCACGACGGTCATTCAGGCGGACGTCACGGCCAAAACGCTTGGACCACCCAACCCATCCCGTCTCCCGCGCAACCGGGTTGCTCACCCGAGCCGTTTTCCCGTCCAGGCTCCACTCCCTCCGGAGACCCTAACCCTTTTTGCTCCTCCTACGGTCCCACGGTGTCCACCACCATTCCCGTTCGGGACCGGGGGCTCCAAACCCTGACCGGGATGTGCATGACAGCTCCGCCCGTAACGAAGTCCGTACGGTAACTCCCATAACAGCTCCGTACAGTCTCCATTACCGGCACTCTTCCCAGTCCCTTGTTTAAGTTTTCGATGTTCTCGGTTTCGGTTTGGGACTCTCGGCTGTTTTTTGCAACTCTCAACTGCAGCGTCATTTGGCTACAGGCGTCAGGCGTATACTACAGACGATGCGATGCGATGCGAGGCGAGGCGATGCGGGCTTCACCGCTTCGCTTGGCTTTGCTTCTACCGCACAGGAGAGTGAGGCTCGCTTACTCGGTTGTCGTCGGTTTTGGACTTCGGTTGATGGCCGGTTTTGAGAATCGGCAGATCAATACTTACGTTTAGATACCGCCAACCGCCGTTCCGTGTACGGTAGAGGTTCGTACGGCTCGGCTCCGGCATCAAACACAGGCATGCACCGAATCACACCTGCACCGGTGTCCCTCCCTCCGTCCGTCCGTCCGTCCGTCCGGAACCGGTCGTTTGTCTGTTGCCAGTTTCCAGCTGAACCTTCAGGCCCTGACTTCTGTCGACTGCCCCAAGAGGTTCTCAATCGGTAATCACTTCCCCCGAGCTTGTGAAAGTTACGAAACGTCGAAACAAACCCCTTGCAAAAACCAGTGGCCCTCGCCAATGCCACGTCGACTGCACATCCGTGGGAATCCGTCCTGCCGCCTGCGCTGTACCTAGTTCTGTAACTAACGTACTATCGACGCAGGACAAGTAGTAATTACTGCAGGAACCAGGTCTCATTTCATATTTTCCCTTTCCCTCGCTCACTCTGTCTGTTTGGTATTCACTGGCAGAACTGGGCCTCGCTTCTGCGACCTGCGTTTCCCGGTTTCTTTGGATTTGCGGATGGTCCCTTTGACTGCCATTGCTTGCTTGCCCGTCGTCCCATTTACGCTGGAAACTTTACGTAAGGCTTGCTTGCTGCTTCTTTGTTACAACAGGGAGTCAAGCTCGCAGGTACACTACATGAGGTGTACTTGGAGGTTGAAAAGTGGTCGTATTTACAATTCCAGCTCGATACCAAGCAACCGTGTAAAATTAGGAACCGCCGAAGCCGAACTTCTCCAGAGCGGTCCCAAAAGGTTCCAAAATTGGATGGACCCAATACCTGCCAAAGTGGAATGGTTGGACCCTGAACTTCCTGCGTGGAACTAACCTACAACTGCTGGAGACGCTGGAAACGACGATCAGATTGTGATGATCCTTGAGTCACTGGTACTGGAGAACAAAGTTTGGTGATGAGACTGTGAATATGACTGTAAGTGGAATATCACAAAAACTCAGAACCGAAATGTCCCGTATCCTTCCGGCTGTTATTCATCACTTTCTTCACATCGAAACCTACAGCTACTGTATGACCAAGCTGAACCGTCAAATCCACAGTCAGGGACCGACGATGGAGTTTCTCAACGTCGAGGGAACTTATGTCGGGACAGCACGGTCAAATGTGAAAACTCTTTCGGATATCGAAGCCGAAATGGATGACTGTGTTTCCTATCACGACTCAGAACTGTCTGTCTCTAACCCAAGTAACCATCAACCGGAACTGGTGAAGTTGGCTCGTAGGGTTTGACTCACGGAGACGCCGTGACCCAGATAAGATCCAGATCGGAACCCATCCCGATCACCTCAATCCCTTCGGGAGCACTTGGGCTCTGACAGGCGTACAACATCAACCTAATTATCAACGGTGAAGCCCTACCGGAAGCTGTCCCAGAGTCCGATTCTGCCCCGATCCGGTCCAGATCAGATCCAAGATTGTTTGAACATCTAGATCACCTCGTCTCGTCTCGGCTCGCCTACATACATATGCTTCGCCTTGCCTTATCAGCAATGCACCTGCATCCCGAAACAGAAGGGGGGAACCTCTGCTTGCTCTGCTCGATTCAGCTATTGGTGCAGTGCTGAATGTAGGGCTCAGGCTTGTCAAACTCTCCAAAACAGGAGACGGAGGGAGCTGAATGGATGGTATTTTTTGGTACTCGTGGTACGGTATCACCGGACGAAAATGGTAAAGACTTTCAACATTACAATCTTTCTTTCTGTTTCATTCCCCTCCTCTTCCTTTTCTCGTCTTCTCGTCGTCACGGTGGCAAGAAAAGACAAAAGTAACCCAATCTCGGTAGTCGCACCGAAACGGCGAAAAGCCTCGAAAAAATACACTAGAGGTACCATAAAACGCCCCTTCCATGATTCCCAAATTTACGCCCATGATGATGACGATGACAACGACATGACACCTCTAACCGATAACGATGATGCAATGAGCCCCGTTGTTGCCCCGTTGTTTCCAAACCCGAGCTAAAAGAATGATGAAACACTGATGAGATAAGATAAGGATAACATGGTGATAAGGGGTGCCGGGCATCTCCCGTCGTGGCAATGAGTGGCCCATCAACGACCCAGCGAGCAACGACAACTGGCCAAGAAAATACACAAAAAGAGCAGAGAAAGGTAAGTACAGAACTCAAGGAAGGACTAGAAAACATTCACCTGGATCGAAATTTTGAGAATCAATAACGAAAAAGCAACTGAAAGCGGAAGTAAAAGACCAAGGTACGGGGTCAACCGAAGAAAGGAAGAAACACCAAAGCCGAAACAAGCAACTTCAGAAGTAAAGACGATACGATTCACTTCGTTCCTTCCTCAGTAAACAATTTCATGTTCCAACTCCTTATCGTATCCACCAGTCCCTGGCGACATATCGTTTCAAGCCATCCAGTCGTTCCAAACAAATCTTTCCAGTTGACTGATCAGCATGATTGCGACTGTGATAGCTTGTCCCATCGTGCCTAGAACCGATCGGCTTGCTTGCCTGCTTTCTGGACATCCTACCATTGTCCACGGTGCTTTGCCATTCAGATGCCAGATTGTCTCCTTCCAGTGTCTCCTTCCCCTGCCTCCGCAAGTGCCTCCTTCCATCGAGCAATCTCAGCCACTTTTCCAGCTACCCGGTCAAAGTCGTCTGCGTTTCAGATAAAGAGTTGTCCTTAGTGCTCGCAGCGCTCAGTATCCAGTCCCATATTCTCGTTGCTTTCCGTCTCGTCTGGCCTTGCCTTATCGTCCCTTCTTGCATGCTGGAATGGTGACATCCCGCCACGTGTCACCCATTCAATGTGTGTGTCTGGCCAGCCCGGGCTCACCGGGCTCGCCGGGTTCGATCCAATCCAGTGATTTGAGTCAAAACGTCAGTTGAAATGCCCCGAAGGCTTGGTCAGTCTTCCCGCATTTGCCCTGCTTGTTGCGTGTGCGGGGCGTTTGATGTCGTGGTCGTAAAGATAAGAACTCATCCGCTGTCAGGTCAGTTTCGATTCCTTGATTCATTTGCTTGCGATGATCGTTCAGTGTTCTGTGTCCTTTGTAAGTTTGATCCCATCTTGTATCGAATGAGTCATCTTCTCGAATCGTTGCTGCCAAACAACGTTCATTTGTGTGTGCCTGCTTTGAGCTAGTCATGAGTGTGCAATGTAATGACCAGAGGTGCCAAACTCTAACTTGAAAGGTGCTCAGTGAAAGAGTAAGAGGTGCCAACCTCTCTCCTGTGACTGCAACGCTGATGTGATGAGAGTTGCCAAACCTTATTGTAATGAAAACAGCGCTGAAATGCAAAATGATCGAAGCAGAGGTGCCACCCTCAAGCTAAGATCCCCTACTAAAGCCCTCAGTCAACCTCTACCACTACGTGATGATACGTTCGCTACTCCAGACGGAAAACAAGACAACCAAGACAATGCGTGTGTGTGTGTGTGTTTGTGCAAAAAGGCCTCTCATTGGAACGCCCCATCTATACTTGAATGTTCTCTTCGTAGTCGGTATTTGCACAAAAAAGGTTATTCTGGTCGCTTTCATTCGCCTCCGTAACTCTGACCAGTAACCAATGCCTCCCCATCAAACGGGATGGGATCATGAGATGTAAACAATTCATACAATGCTTTGCTCCTCCATGCTAATAAAGTAAACCGCGATTTGATGCTGTTCCCTTTGCCCTTGCCGTGCTGTTTCCATGCTAACGTCTCCTTTACTGCTGCTGCTGATGATAATGATGATGTAAAAAAAGGAGTAAAATATAGACTCGAAGAAGGAAAAGAGTAGCAAAAAAAGGCAGAGAAAAAGAACCACTGCATTTCGGCACAGCTGCACTAAAGTAACAAAGCTCAGTCGCTCTCCACAACGAGCTTCTTGGCAGTGTCTGTGCTTCCCACGCTAGCATTGGTGTCCCGACGCCTCGCGCCAGTGACCAATCTTCCCATGGAGATGGGCTCCTTGGAAGTCGATGCAGGTGAAGGAGAAGAAATTGTTGGGCTCTTCTTCCGCCTAGCCATGACCAACCCTTCATCACTATCGCTGTCGTCATCATCATGATGGCTGCTGTGGTAGGCACTCTTTGCCCGCGCATGAGAGAACGGGTTGTGCTTAACAGCCGGCTTATTATTATCCGTCACACGAATGGGCACAGCAGTTGGTGTAACCTGCTCCTGCTGTTCTTCAAGCGGGAAGCCAGCCACAGGCTCCTTTGAGAAAGCTGGGGGTGTAAGAGAGTCAGATGTGTCAATGACTGATGACCGACAGACCACTCCTGGGTTGCCGAGGAACTCGCCTTCTGGGTCCGCGGACACAGAGCTGGTGCTGCTGAGCAGAGCTGGTAGAGAAGGGTCAGACTGGAAGGCTAGGATTTGCTCCACGGCGTCCTTAGTTAGATTTTGCTTCGAGCAATACTGCGGGCTTGCTGCCTCGCTAGGACTAGTCAGCGGGGACGTCAAAGCTCCCATGGACGTTGTGCTGGATGAGACGACGGATTTGATCGTGCCTCGGCGAGATTGTGCCCTGCTGAAAATGTTATCTCCGGGTGAAGGAGGGCAAGGAACAGATGCGGGTTCGGCGGCATGATACTCGTGGTTTCCTCTCAAGGTGTGATTGTCGGGATCCTGCGCTGGGGGAAGCTGTTCTCGGTTCTGAATAAGCTGGGACAGGTCCTTCGCGTTGATGAAGTCTTCGATCCGGTGTGCTGTCTGTGGGCGTTCATCGAGTTCAACCATCGGACGTTGCCTGTCGATAATGTTGCTTTCAGATTGGTGGTGGTGATGGTGGAAGATGCTGGTAGCAGGCGTAGTGGGCGGCAGGCTCTGCTCCTCCAACTGCTCTGAGACCTTTGCGAGGTCGATCGAATGCGTGATACGTGGTCTTTGGGGCATCTGAACATTGCCGGGTGCGACAGCAGTGCTGAGAGCGACCCTAGGTCCAGCCCGCTTATCGTCACTAGCGAACAACCCCCGATCAACGGAACGTGCTCGGCTAGTGTCGTCAGCGGGAGGCTTCATGTCGCGCGTCTTCCTGAGAGCGTTGCTTGGATCTTCTGGCGCGATGCCATAGAGAGGAGTAGGTGGTACGGTTTGACAGTGGTTCGGTACGAAGCCCGTGGTTGGGGTAAGGCTTAAAAAAGTGTTGGTAGCGGACCGGGCGTGGCCACGATTTCGTGATCTCATGGAAGTGCGATCGGGCACCTCGTCTCGTTCTCGCACATTAGAAAAAAACTCGCGTAGTTGACGTGTGGTCGAATGCTTGCTGACGGCCGAGGTCGAGGGCTCTGGCACGGCTGAAGCTGGTGAGCCTCCAAGTGGCGAGTGTGAAGGGCTGGCAGTGACACTCTGGGTCAACGGGTGCGACCCTGTCGAGATTTGCGAAAGATTGGAAAAGTAATCGTCGGGGCGTAAGCTTCTGCGCCGCCCGTCACGCACACCAGGGGTGGGTATGCCAACGGCGGGGCTCTCTGCCGATGAGCTGGCGGCGCTGCTCGTGGCACGTTTGCGTGAAGACACGCTCTCTGAACGGTCTCCCCTGTGCGTGAACTTGGTCACTGTCTTCTTGAAAGCCAACTTGGCCCGCTCGACAAAGGTGAGGGGCACAACGGCCTGAGTAATATCGCGTTCATCGACTTGAATTCTCCTACCTGCCGTGCGCCGAGACGGATCGGTATCATCCAGCCAGGCTATGACGTTATCAATGCCCTTAAGGACCCATGGATGCCTCTTGACGTCACGTAGGCGAATCCGCTTCTCTGGGTTCTTAATGAGCATCTTGCTGAGGAGGTCGTAGAGGTCGTTATCAATCTCTTCGTACAAAGGCTCGTCATCGTTGCGGTAAGGATCTCGGTTCACTCGTGTATACAGGGACTTTTCGTCAGGTTTGGTGGAAGGATCAACGGGGCGGAGGCGCTGTCTCGGGATGTAGACTTCTTCCGTAGCAATCTTCTTGAACATGCGCCACTCGTCCTCCGCCAGGAAGGGGATGCGGGCAAAGATCAAGCAGTAAAGAGTAACTCCTAGAGACCACACATCAATCTGCTCGGTGATCTTGGGCTGCTGGCCAGGTCGGTCGTCGTAGGTGTCGGTGTAACAGAGCTCAGGGGCAAAGAAAGCAGGGGTTCCGACCGTCTTGGCCAGCTCAAGGTCGTTATCGAAGTCGCGGGCTTCAGACTCGGAAACAGGCTCATCGGGCTCACCATCGCGGAGAGGCCGTCCAAAGTAGGAGACGCCGAAGTCGGAGATCTTGACTCGGTGATCCTTGGTGCAAAGCAGGTTGGCAGGCTTGATGTCACGGTGCACGACGCCTTCGTAGTGGAGGTACTCAAGACCGAGGACGGTGTCGCGGAAAGCTGACCTGGCCTTGTCGATTGTGAAGCAGGGTACATACGAGTAATCGTCAACGAAAGGGTCGTGCACTCTGTTGTAGTCAACCGACGACATGTGAGACAGGATGGAGTCGGCCATGCTTGGGGACCTCTTGCGGAGGCTGGGTTCATCCTCGCGGGGGGCAAACAGCGTGCCCTCAACCGCAGAATCCTGGTTGATGTGCGAGTGTCCATGGGGCGTCTCCATCTCGTCTTCGTCAATCTCGGGAACAACCGAGGCAATCGAAGCCAGGTCGGGCTCGGAAGGCTGGGGGGTGTTGGATCGGGAGATAGACTTCATCGACTGTGTCCGTGAGGGCGCGCGGGACGTCACTCTGGATGAAAGGCCAAGCCAGTCTCCGGCAAAGGACGGAATGGACGAGTCTCTGCCCAAGGACCTAGCATGGAAATCAAGATCGTCGTCATCGGCGGTACCGAACTCGAGACTCCAGAACTCGGCGTTGTTGGGGTGAGCCTGTTGCGCCACATGCGCCCGCTTGGCTTCCTTCTCCGCTTGGCGTTTTTCCATGAATCGCAGGTACTCCTCCTCTCTTGCATCCGGCAAGGCTCCCAGCTGTTCTCTCTCCTGGCGTCGGCGTTCATAAGCGCAGATGTGAGGGAGACCCTTCTTTCTCCAGACAACCTCACCCAGCTCCACGTGTTCCAGCACCATGTAGATTTTCTTGAGCTCGGGGTCGTCGATGATTTCGAGGAGGGCGACAACGTTGGGATGACGGATCTTCTTCAGGATAGCGATCTCACGCTTGCTCTTGTCCTGCGTCGACATGGCGGTAACCTTTCCGAGCCGTCTCTTCTTGGAGAACCTGGGAATAATCTTGATTGCCACATTTTCGCTGGTCTGGGTGTTGCGTGCCAGTTTGACCTTGCCATGCATGCCACGTCCAAGCTCTTCAATGATCTCGTACTGATTGATGGCCTTGCGCCCGGTCGTGTAATCGTGTTCGACATTTGCCTTGTGGGTTCTGGAAGGGTAGGATAGTGTTAGTATGGGGGAAAGGGGGCTGCAGACTAGACTGTCACAAAGATAAGACTACTTACTCGCGAACCTTGTGGCTCTGGAGCGGATGAAGATAAGGACTATGCAGGGTCGGCGCCGGAGTGGTGTTCTCGGACGATGGTTGGCCGGAGAGCGACATGTTTGAGCGGGGGATGCTCGGACTGAAGAGGCCAGGCGACGAGACCGGAGTGCTATTGGCAGTCCGGTGCGGTATTTGCGAGGCCATTGGAGGAAGGAAGGGGTGGAGTTGAGGATGCGAGGGCCGCGGATGATGTTGAGTCGGCGTCTGGGAGGACGACATCGAAGGTTGTGGTGGTTGTGTTGGTTGTTGAGGCTCCATGATTGTGGTGATGAGGGATCGGTCCAGGTCGGGAGTCGCAGTAGCTTGGGGTCGCCTTCATGCTGACGAGCGGTGGGAAGGAGATTCGGTTACTACCTCGTGGGTTGAGGCATCGATCAGGGACTAGTAGACTAGTTCGTCGTTTGTTTCGGTAGGAGGTAGGGACAGAAAGAAAGAGTCGGTGATCCGATTGACTGGGAGCGGTGCGGTGCCGTTTCGTGACTGGGTGCTGGATTCAATCGAAGAGCCACAATATCACAAGGCCATGGACGCTACCTAGTAGCGTGTGCTTTTGCGCCGGGGGGGGCTTCTCTGCTCTAGGGCACTCTTCTCCACGCTGCTGGCTTCGGTCGGCAAAAGGAGCGGATGTGAATTAGACGGGAGGAGTATAGTGGGATGCAAGTCGTTGGATCGTGGAGTCGGGATGTCGACTTGTCGAGTATGCGGTGAGAGGGAAGAGTGGAAGTTGGTAGTGTCGGTCGGGGGGGTGGTCAGGGTGGTGTTGTGGTCTAGTACTAGAAGAGACTTTGGAGAGAGAGTCGAGGAGCAATGGACAGAGGTTGAAGAATGGGTGGAGCCCCCGATGGGTCAGGCAAATGGGTCCCGGTCTGGCGAGTGGAAAACGAGTGGGAAATTCAAAAAAGGCAGGAAAGGCTTCGAAAGATAGCGTCGTATTCATGTATGGAGCGGTACGGCCTGCGCAGGTGTGGGTGCTGGGCGGCTAGTGTGGCATCCACTTTCTGGGAAAAGACCAAGGTATCAATACTGTATGGTATCGTACTTTCGAGAATGGCCTGTTCCTCTGCGGCGTCGGAGGTGGGTCTGGCGCCAGGAGTACAAAGAGAGCACGGACATGGACCAAGGAGCACGAAAGAGCATGGATGTCTTGGCGACTGACAGGGTACAAGGAGGTACTCAAAGTATTACTTTCAATACGGCGGATTACGCACACATGTTCCAGATTACAAAGGCTACTATGTACATCGGTTTCGTTTAGCATGTCCTGGCCGAGCACCCCGAGCATCAGGCTTTCCAGGCGAAAACAAGGCTTCGTTTCGCCCCTTTCGTTGAGCTATATCAAGGGCCCGTTTGGTTCATCCAGCTGTTTTTTCTTTTGTATGTGAAATCGACCCCTGCAAATCAGCAAGTTGATTCATGCAGGAAGTTGGGGGTCAGTTTGCCCATTTAACCCAGCTTGGCTGCGTTAAGAAGTATCGCGCTAAGGTAGGCGGTTCGGAAGGCCTAAGAAGGGAATTAGTGGGCCCATTTTGGCCAATTCTACTGTTTTCTATCTTCATGCGCAAGGGCATAAAGATAGAAAGAAACAGAACCAACTACGAATCACAACCCCGGTCACAACAACGCGTCTTTTAGCCCACGTCTTTGCCTAGTACAAAGCAGTGGCTTTCTAGCTGCATTTTCCGCTTTGTACCCCAAATCAGCACGTTTAAAAAACAGCTGGATAAACCAAATGGGCCCTAAGAGGGCAAACAATTGAACATGCTTTGGCCAAAGCAATTGAGCGGCGTTGCCAGCCGCAGGGAGCAGATTACGGTCTGATGCCGGCTCCAGCGGATATCAAAATGCACGAACTCTGATAAGCTTTTGTGAAAGAAATGGCACAGAAAGGCACAGACTACCTTACCAACATAAATGTCCGCTTTGTGTCTTATGTCTGTACGCCTGCGTAAAATATTGAAGCATTGTTATATGGAAATGCTATAGCTGCCACTTCCTCGCCATCGGGAATCACGCGCAGGATCGGATTCCGAGATGGCCAACCGAGTGCCGCGTCAACCGGCGACGGCAACGGCGACGACATGACCGGAGGCCAACGGGGCCTCTTTCATTTCTCTTTTGATCGGGGTGCATAGGCTGCCGACACTTTGTGTTATGGTGCAGGGGAGGCACACTGAGGAGCATGGACGGCACAAGTTGACGTCGCGCTTTCCGGGGGCAGAGACAGTCATGGCATGCACTTGCCAAGACCAACCAGGTGGGGCAGCCCTTCTGGCCTTTCCTTATCGCGACCCCTTGCTGCGGGGTTCGTGATTGGTTCGGACAGGGTTGCACGAGGTCTTGGCCAAGCCTTCCTGCTGCAATGTCACCCAAAGCATGATCTGGAGCAGTGAGAAATGTCTTAAAATGTCTTGCTCAACACCAAGCTATCTCCATTCGCAACTATCATGAACATGATGGACAGCAAGTGCCAAATTCGTGGCCCAATCTCAGCTCAGAGGATATGGAGACACTCGGACAACAAAGCCAAAACACCTCATCACGGTTCAGATAATGGAACAAGCACAAGCAAGATACTGGCAAATATCTGGCAACAACCTGTTCGCACAGTGGCAACTTGGCAAACTCAAAACCAACAGACGGGATATCCTCTCTTGGAGGCATGATTACGTTGTGATCGCCCTCGCATTTGATACCTCCGATGTCTCCATCGTGGGGTTGAACAACCCACCAGCCCGAGGGTGTAGCGTGTGTCAGAATCCAGCGTTGACGTCGATGCTTGAAAATTCCAGTTCCTTATCCTACGTCAGACTCTTATTTTCAGTTATATCCTCCAAGACTCCAACATCCTTTTCTCATGGCCTATCATCCTTTGTTCCTGCCCCTTCTCATCCCCAATCCCCAACAACATTTTCTCGGGCATCCCAAACCACCTGTCACGTCATTCCACCTTGGCCAGGCAAAACAGACTGGATCTGGTGTTTCTCATGCGCGCCAGTTCCAGATTGCGACGCCAAGCCTTCTCCTTTCCATCTGTTCCGTTCTCCTTTCGGCTTGATACATACAAGGCAATGCCAGCCTGGCAGATTTGACTTCAACCTACGAAAAGGCGACAAGTCAAAACACCCGCCAGCTTTGACGCCGTACGTTACGCAGACAACATATTTGTTTGTTACACCGTTACACAAACACGCCGAGGCCACGGCCATGACGCGCTTCATGGCTTTGGGCCTCCCGGCCTCTTCTTCGTCCGCCTCGTCTGTAGAGAAGAGACCAGGCCATGGACGCGGGATGCCATGCCCTCATCCTGAAAACAGAAACACCCCAATACACGGTTGGTAAAGATCTCTGGTCTTGTCAAGACCCAAAGACGCCGAGCCTCTCCAGAGTACATCGGAGGACAAACATCGTCAAAGTTTAAACTTTCCCTGGTCGTGCCAGGGTCCTGGTAAGGGTCCTTCGTCCATCCGGGTCGGTGCAGCCCTTCCCGTCCGTTGAAAGATAAGGAAAGTTTGATACTGTATCAAGTTTGATCATCGATATCTCCAGTCTTAACCGCGGGACGGCAGACGCCTCTATCACCTCACCTCCCTTGAAGTTCCCTCCTTGGAATTAACATGAAACATGGGAATCAACGACCGAGGATGATCCAGGTTGTTGGATTAGACTTTCAGGAAATTTCAGCTTCATGTCCACAGCGCTACAAGTGGCCTCTCCAGCTGTCAGTCAGTCCAGTCGTCTGGGTGACCACACGACAGATGCAGCGCAATGTCGGAAACTTGCAGTTTTACTTGCATTAGAATGCGCGTGCAAGTGTCGAATACGGTAGTCCGTCATTTCGCCCCAGTCCGCTGCAGTCGAGGCGTCGTGAGTTCGTACAGCAGCAGCCAAAGCTGCAAAGCAGCACCGGAAAAACGAACAGGTACCATGCCTAGCCACGAAAACCCGACAGCAGCATCTGATGCAACAGCTCGCAGCGGTGAAGGAGACGAGGGCATCGTGAGATCCCGCTCACAGGCTTAGACCTAAGACCGGACTAAGATAGTGTAGTCTGTGGAGTTGAGGCAATTCCCAGGGTCCGAGTCCAGACCTCCAAGACAGAAACGGCTTAGAACGTAACTTACGTGCGTTACCCCGGATTGCACTCACCGTCAATCATCGTCACCTACCTATCGGGCGTCAATCACGACAACAATATTCCGAACCCCGGATCTTCGCTCAGCTAACTTGCTAACTAGTATTGAACGAAAAGGCGAAAACAGAAACAAAATATTGGAAATGAAGCTAGCCTGACTCTTGCTCACCCGCGTGAAGTCTGGGAAAGTGGGCTGCCATCAAAGTCGGAAAGTTACAACTAGTAACAACCGTCCCGACGGCTCCCCATTCGCGTTTCTGATTGGTTAAGGGCACGACTAACAGCACTAACTCGGTAATAAGCACCAGCCGAGTACCAGCGGGCTAGAACGTTGGATGTTCATCGGGTTATTAAAGAGAAAGAACGCTAACATCGTCGGGATTCACGCGGGACTACGGGTCACGGGAGCCGGGGAGGGACCTGCGAGAGCTTTCTCCAGTTCCAGCTCCAGCTTGTTTGAGGTAGATGTAGGTGGTTTTAACCTTTCGCACGTGCGATCCCCACGGACGAAGTCGTTGATCATTCCGATCATCTTTTTCTTTGTTGCCCGCTCGCTCGCGAGCTCGTGGGTTGCGTTGCGTTGCGTTGCCCGCCTGTTTGGGATCACGGGATCAACTTCCCCTCTTTCCCCCAGTTCGTCCGCCAGCTAGGCCAGCCTACCACGAGCCTACCAAACCTTCGGATACCCTGTGGGCATCGAATACGGTGTGGTAGTGCCGCTTCGGGTTCTGTGAGGGAGTTGTTGGAACAAAAAAGCCCGTGATGATCTGATCTTTACTGGAGAAGGGGGGGTAAAGGATCTCGTTAGGCATCAAATCACTGTTGTCGAGGCATCAAGCAATCCAATGTCAAGGGTATCACCAACGGTATCACCGACGGACGTTCTTCTCGCCCGCCCCCGACCGAGCTTCCGAGTCGCGTGCCGGCTTCAAGCGGGCTTAACAAAGCTTTCGGAGTCGGAAGGAAATTGAGTCCCTTGCTTAAGTTAGCTTGACAACTTGTGCGATGTGTTAAACGCCAATGGAGAGAGAGCAAGAATGATGGTGTTGTCATTGCACATCTAGAACCGTCAAGGGTCCCGTCCTTCTTGGCGTTGAGAATGAGACGGAAGAATGTCGATCATGGGTACAGTATAATGCGGGGAAGTCAGGACGACCTTAACCATGCAATTCCCATCCCAATCACCCATCCATCGCCATCACCGACCGGCGTCATCATCATTGTCGCCGTCCGTCATACTTACACCATCATCGTTATTACAAACCTCAACCTCTTCCTTCTTTTTCTTTCAACCTTGGCTTCCATGCTTGCCGGCCTCTCTATCATTTTTTTTTCTCTGGTCGTCGTACTTTACGCTGTACATACCAAATTTGTACAATGTAAGGTAGCTCCGCTATAAATCAATCAAACACTCCCGTGAGTCCCGTCACTGTTAGTCAGGGCAGGTCTCGGGATTCCCCAAAGAAGATCAAACCCGAGGGCCCGAGGGAGCACCGACACCGTACCGTCGGCAAGATCAATCAAGGTTAACCGGACGGAAGACGGAATGTCGTGAGCATGCTTGCTTGGCACACGCACGCCTGGGCGGCAGGCAGGCAAGCGGACGGAAGAACAGAAGAAGGGCACAAGAGCAAAAAGAAAAACAAAATCAGGTGTCGTGTGCTTCGGCTCGGGTGGTTGCATCTCGCATGTTGTCGTCGTAGTTGGCTCGGCGGTTCTTCTTTTGCTTCAGTTCTCTCCCAAGATATTCGGGGCTGGGGCTTTGTTCACCCACCACTCATGCAACGTCTCATGAAGTGAGCAGAGGACTGGAGACGATATCATACTGTAAATGAACGAGGTCCTTCATCGCTACGACGGCCGGCCGGCCGATTTCAACGGCGTTGTTGCCTTGTCGGCGTATCACATAACAAGCAAGTAATCTCATCCCGTCTCTGTTGCTGCGATGCTACTACGCCCCTGAAGCGACCACAAGAATTAAACAGACGAGTAGCAATCTGCTCTTCTCTCTGTACCTTACTTCGTTTCTTTCGGGATTCAAGAAGAGGAAACTCCACAAACGTGCAGACGTTCGTGAGTGAGGCGTACTCGCCCGTCGTCGTTTTTTTGCTTAACTTGGATTCTTCCACTCGACACGCGATGAAAGGTGCCGCCCGGGAAGAAGTGGAAAGTTGGAATATTGCTACCGTAGCCGGCGTGTAACGTGAACGCAGGAGAACAGACAGACAGGAGAGCCAAATAGAGTTTCGTCGCAGCGTCGCTTTCAACACAGTGGAGTGAACGAACCGGCAGGCAGTGCTTCCAAACAGCAAAGTTCGCGATGCATGTGCTGTTGAATTGAATGACAATGGAATGCTCCCAGCCGTCATCGCTCCGGCCTCCTGTTCGGCGAGTGTTTCATTCGTCTACCCTTCCCTAAATAGGAAGGAAACCAAGCCCCGATATGAAAAGTAATGACATCGTTCATCGGGTGCTTGGATCAGGACTCATAGGAGGTCCCTTGGTCCCTTGCTTTCTTCGTGCTCCTTACAGCAGTCCCGAGGCGAACAAGCACAAGCACAAGCACAAGCACGACAAGACAAGAAAAGAAAAAGACTTGACTGGACTGGACTGGACTGGCCCGTCTCGTCGTGTGTCTGGGGAAGGAAGGAGGGGCCCGTTCGGAAATCACAGTCGGACAGTGAGGCAAGACAAGAGGAGGAGGGCCAGAACGTTCTGCGAAGCCTGTGAGAACGACAGAGCTGCAAGAGCTGCAAGTGACGGGAGGACAGAGAGGACAGCGGAGGACAGGGGGAGGGACAAGAACACACTAAACCTTCGGGTTCTCCCTATTGGTCGATAGAGCATGAGTGGTTGCGAGCGACGGATGGGAGGACAAAGGTTTTGTGCCGTTCAGTGATGTGCATCGTTGTTTGGCTTTGGCTGATGCCCGAAATCCATTGGGCTTTGGCTGTTTGCCCTTTGGGTTCTACCGATTCGTCGATCTGTTTTTGTTGATCATTGGAGTTGGAGTCCAGTCGGGATGAGCAGCCGACGATGAGTTTGTGTTCTGGTTCGGTTGTGTTGGGACGATGCTGACAGGAGGAGAAGGAACCCAAGGGGAAATTGCATATGCTAGTGTAATTGATTTCTTTCGATGGATGTGCCGTTGTTACACCCACTATACGCAGTAATCCTGCTTATTTTGTTAGTCTGGTTTTATAAGGTAGCGTACTGCTTCGAAAACGCGATTTTGTCAGATTTCATATTGCGCGTCCGGCCTGGTATAACCATTGACTCACTTGTTAATAGGCAAAAACTTTGCTTGGGAAGATTTCTAAGATCGAATGGGTTCGGTGAGCATTGGACATGGATTGAAAGATTCAAAGACAACAAGACCCGACTCCACGGGTTCAAGATCTGATAACGTTCCCGGTCACTGTGTTCATCAAGGGAAGCGAGGCCGTTATCGGAGAGAAAACACAGTGTGTCGTACCTTCCTACTGTATCAGCAAACTGGGCAGGAGTCCAGGAAAGATTGAACAACCAACAGAACACTGATTCTTTCACGGCAAGCTACTTCCAGGTACCTTTCAATACCCTGATGAAATATTGCGAAATATTGAACAGTCGTCAAGTCATTTGTGACTAAATAACCATTGATTCCTGCGTAAGCCACACTCCGGCTTGAAAAGGAAACCCGAGGCTTGTTCCGCTTACTCCTGCCATCTTCCCGTGAGCATGTTCCCTGTTAAGACGTCCATCATGATATTTTGGAGGTTGAGTGTAATTTGAATCCCATCGTCGCCTTCATCAACAACACCAAGAAGCAAGACAGTGTCATGTTATGATAAGCACACGTTGTGTTAGTGGACTGCTGTAAGGGAACCTGCAAGGCTACACACAGTGCAGCAGACTAGTGGGTCCTTTGGTCCCCTAGAATCGAACATTGGCTTGGTTAGAGGACTCACATGACCCGACCCTATTACTAAAGCTTCCTGACCTAAGTGAATCTGCTAAAACCGACTCTATATTATAAAAAATCTCTTAATTAACCCTTACCCCTTTAATAATTTACGTTGCATATAATATATATTTCTAAAATTCCCTCATAGAAAAAGATCCCTAATTGCTCGTAAAAATTCCCTTATAGAAGAATAATATAAAATAATTTTATTCGTATGCCTAAAGTTCTCTTATAGGGAAATAATTTATTTATATAAATATTTCGAAGATAATATTAGTTTGAATATTTAGTAATTTATTCCTAATCTATCCCTAAATTATTTTTAATTTATCCTAACTAAATTAAAATGAGCACTAATACTATTATTATTATTAATACTGATACTTTAATTATAATCACTAAATTCAGTTTAATTAAATAAAATAACCAAATATTTAATAAAACGTTAATAATATTCGAAATATAATAAATAACTAGTATAGCAGCCGAATTCGACGAATCGGAGGAATTTAAAGATATAACCCCTCCTAATATTCTAATACTTACCGACTTTTTAATAAGTATCGTTAATAAATTAATAATATATTCCAAGTATATTTTATAATATTAGTTATATTAAAATTAAAATTATAAAATTAATATTTATTTTATCTGATAATATTAATTAATATTCTAATTTTATTTAAATAATATATTATATCATCGCTATTTTTAATTACTCTGAATCTTCTATTTATAACGTTACTTACGTTATAAATATTAAAGGTTTAATTGAAGATTAGGTTTCAACCCCCTAGGAGGAAGTATATAAAATAGAATAGTCCGAGATAAATTAGTAATATATAGAGGATAATCCTTAATTAGTCCATATTTTTATAGGTTTAATATTATATAGTAAGGAAAATACTTACTAAAGATATTTTAATTAGCTATTTAAATAACGTTATTTATTATTGTATTATTTATAAAGATATTAATATTAAATACTATAAATATTTAGACCTACGAATTTAGTAAATATATTAATAAAATTCTATTAGTATAATCAATAAGGAAATTATAAGCTTTTTATTTAAAATCCGCCTCCGATTAAATAAGGTGCCTTTAATTAGACGAACTATTAAGTATAAATATATTTTTAATTTCTTTTTAATTTATCCTTAACTTTATTTATATAATTTTAACCTAATCGAAATTAAGTAATAATTTGGACCCTTACTTTAATAAGCCTATTCCCAATAATTTACTATATTTATAAAAGTAAGTTAATGCTTAAATTTTTATTTCTTAAAATTTAATTC